ACAACGATATTTTAAGCATAGATACAAAATTACAACGTGAACTGGAATATTAATTATTTGCATTGGTCACGTCCAGAACAGTCCATAAACGAAATCTGAATTTCTACTATTTTTATGCATTAAAAAGTAAATTTGTGCCAGCAGTTACCAGGGCCTTTAATTTTCACAGTAAAAAAAAAGAAGTTTCTAACCCTTTCGTAGGACTTGAGATTACTTCTAACCAACACGATCGTACAAAATGCACTTGCCGGAGTGAGTGAGGTAAATTTTTGGCGCAAGAATTGAATTGAATGTAGGTCGCCTGTTGTAGGTTGAATGTAGGAATGAATACCGCGCCAAAAACTAGGCATCAAAAACCTCCTGCACATTCAGTTAACAGTAACAGTTAAAATTCAAGCACTAGGTTAAAATTTAAATAACTTGGTTAAATTCCAAACACAAGGTGGATTCGAAACTTAGTTAAAATCAAAAGAACCTAATTAAAACTTAAGTAATTTGGCTAAAATCAATATAACAGGTAAAAACTGGTCAATTTACTAAAATCTGAACTAAATCGAATTATAAAATCCGTTGTCTTTGAGGTAAGGTATTAATTTAGTATGAGGTGTTTCCAAGTAAAATTGTTAAAGTCTGGAAGTAACAGCTAAAACACTGTTTTTTAAATTTAAATTTCAAACACTGGGTCAGAAAATGCTTCAAAGTAGGATACTCTCGGCAAAAACTGCCCTGTAGGGTGTTTCATTAAAAATTAAATATTTGTGTCAGGGACGTTGGTAATGGAGTGGTTTAGGGGGTTCAAACACCCCCCATTGTAAATGACAATTTTTAATATTTTCTCTAACTACTCATTAAAAAAATAGTCTTAAAATTTTTTCTACATCTTTTATTTAGTAATAAACACTTAAAAAATCGTTTTAATGACATCTATATGAACCCCTTCCTTGTTCAAATATATAAAATACATGTTCTTCCCTTTTAAGGAAGCAATACTCTGGACGATACCCCAGTATCCTTACATGAGATATACCTATAAAGTTAGCCGATTCCCTTTTAAGATGGGAAAATGTTCACAGCTTCAAAATACTCTGCTTCATATATTTATCTTAATAGCTAAGGGATGGTGCATCATTTTTAAGGGACCATGTGGAATATCTATAGAGTGTAGGAGAAAATAACTTGTTAGTTTAAATCTGGTTATAAATGCCTTACACAGAAAATTTCCTAAAATTTTAAGGTCGTCTTTTTACAATTATCAAAAGAAGTAGCCAGTGTATTGGAGGGTGGTCCTATCTTACAGACTGACTCTCAAATCAAACACTTTCTCGACATTATGTCTGGAAACTTACTAAATCTAGCAAAATAAAACATATTTACTTATAGGCTATTGTGTAATTGCAAATAAGAAGAGAAAAAACTAGGAAAAGTTCAAAGTTAGAGAAGAAATGGCCCACGAATAAGCAAGACAGTAGGGACCCTGTAAACTCAACATTATAACTGTGAAGTTTTAAAAATCGGCACTGGCGAAAAACTTTTTTATTCACGACTGATACATCCCCACTCCAAAAAATAAATCCATTATTGAGTAGAAATAACCACCAAACTTAAAAATGCTTAACTATTGTGCACAAAAGAAAATCGTAGAAATTGCTTTGTAATAAAAAAACGTGTTTTTTTTTTTTTTTTATAATAAACAAAAGTTAAGATTAAAAAGTAAAAAATGGAATGATATCTAAGAATGCTGACCTTGGGTTTAAGTTTTGGAACAACAAATCCCTCAAATAATATATACGCATCAGTTGCTTTTAGAATACATGCTATCTAGAATTTTGTTTTAAGTGACAACATTCTATGCAATGATAGATGTAATTTGATCCCAACTTCATAGTTGTTTAAAGGAGATGAAGTTAATAGTGAATTCATATTAAGTTGCACCTTTTTGTTTAGCTTCTCCCACTGATATAAAAAGCAACTCCAAATAAAAACTGAAAATTTTTTCAAAACGTTTTCTAAAGAAGTTTCGCCGACATTTAAATCTTATCAGAAAGAATTTCTCTTTAGATGTAAGGTTAAGTTTCACAGATATCAAATAATTTTTTGACTTCAAGCAATCCTAGTGTATGTACTTCGTGTATGAACTTAACTGTACCTATGGCCTAAGCTGAGATTTCAAAATTGAAATTTCAAGAATTACTTCCGACATTCTATGACACAAGAACGTCTTAGTAATTTTCTGACATTCAAAATATATATATATTCTCCTCTCAAAGGTTCAAACCAGTTTTCATTAGTAAATATTTTTCCAGGTATAAGAAATATAAAATCCTTGTTTGATATGTTTCAATTTTTCTCACTTCAAATTGATCATGATCTACAAAATACCAAATTATTTCTATTTTAATTTATTATATTATGAATACCTATTTTTATTTTATTATATTAAATTATTGTACTATAATTATATTATTAGGGGCCTTATTCAAATTCCATACACCAAAACCCCAAACACCTAGTTGAGATTTGGATAATATTTATATAAAGTTTAAATATTAAGAATGATACAACAAGCATTAATCTTTTAATGACAAAAATAATAAAGATGTCTTACATTATTAATTGCAGTACAGTGTATGTTTAAAGCGCCTAAGTTTAAAAGATTATTTTGCGCTGATTAATACGACAGAAGCACAAATATTGTTAACGAAATATGTACTTGGATAAATTTGATTCGTGTCTATTGCACTCATGGTTCAAATGCATATGATTTTCAGTTAACAACTGTGTTAGTGCTTGTGTGCTCCTTTCGTGATTTCCAATAGAGTGATTCAGGACACAAGAGGCATTTTATATTTTATTTTATAACCGTCGTTGAACAGCCCACCCAATTTTATGGGTTATCACTACTACTAATGTTCAACATCATAGCCTTGTAACTTTGAACTCAATCCAAAAGACAAGGGAACTCCAGGATCGAGTATTGGGAGAAATTTGCCTTCGTGATGACTTTTTTGTTAGATAAATAAATTGCTAAGAGGGTTTTTCTATTTTGATTAAATAACATAAAAATAAAGGGTATAAGGTTCAATCTTTGTCAGTCATTTATGATGCCGATCTCATGCATTCAACTTACGTCGGTAACGTCATGGTCTGCATTGAACGGCCAGTTTCTTTTCATTTGCTTTTGACGTTCTGGCATGGATCATGACGTCATCCATTATCTGTTTAAAGATTATTTAAGCTTCAGTTGAAGCCGATTATTTTGTATTCATTCTTTTTGTTAGTCACTCTGTGACAGTTTGTCTACCAATTTAATATGTTTTAAAATAAATTTATTGCTTTAGAAACTACGTTTTCTTATTTGTTTTGTTGACAAACAGATACAATGATATTCTGTGACAATCTCGGATGCCATTTTTGATGAGCTAACCTGCATTTGCATTACATGGAGAGGAAGATCACGAGAGCCTCCCATGGTTAGTCTGACGGCAAGGGGACTCTAACCCATGATCCATCTACCACTGAGGATATTTCACTTCGGCACTGTGGTTGGTGCAAGCCAAATGCGGTATTTGTATCGACTGGGATTTGAACCCGGTTTGCCTCATTGGAAAGCGAACGCTTTATCCCATGAGCCCTCACAGCTCATACAAGAGGTATTCTTAGAGACAATTTGTGATATCTCTACCAATATTTTACCTTACGTGGCAGAAACAATTATTTTTTTAACTGTATTTTATACTATTAAAAATAAAACTTTAAGTTCTTTTGTAAGTTGAATGACTAAAACACTTTTTTTAAAAAAAAAAATTCTGATTTATTAATCAACTGCAATAAAACCCAATCTAATATATATAATTCTCTTATGTGGCTCCCAAATTTTGGCTTTATTTCTTTTCCGCCGCTGGCAACGTTTGTTTTGTTTACGTTACTATTTCTCTTACACGGCAACAAAAAAAAAGCCTCATTACAACTCCCTAAATGGCAACGCTAGAAAATCAACCAATGATTGCCGCTAAAAATGTCACAAGCCAAATCTAGCTGAGGTGGCTCAACATATAGCTCTTTTAAAAACGGAAACTGAAATAACCAGAGAGCATCAGCTGCGGCGATCTCATTCTATTAAGCTTGGCAGAAGTGAGTAGTCTTTGTCGATAGATCTCTATTTTAGTATTTTGTCGAAAGCGCTTTTTTTCACGAATTTATATATAACGAATTTATTTGACGATTTTTTATTTAAATCACTAATTATACTATATCACATTTCTAATATGTTTAACAAATTACATGTCATTTATTTGAATTCAAATTTATTTTAATGACTTAGTATTTTCTAAAAAGATGCAATTTTTTTAAAAAGAAAAGTTTTTATATGGATTTTAATGATTGTTTTGTATTCTTAGAATTTTGTGCATTTGCAATGTACCTAAGTTAGTAGCGAGCTTGGTTTGCGAAGCAAACCATATAAAATTGCGTAGCAATTTTCGGGGGTTGGCGAGCGTCAGCGAGCAGGGGGCGCAGCCCACTAGTATTTAATAAAATCAAACATTGAACTAAGATCAATTCAACAATGCGAATAAATATCACTAGGTACCTCGGGGTTGTGAGACCCGTATTTACCTGAAGAAGGTAAAGCCCTTGAGGAATTGTTAATTTAAAAAAAGAAACAGTGTTATAAGAAATTAAAATATTCAATAATTTTTAATGAAATTTTTTTAATTATGTTCTACATTCAATACAAAAAATAAAGTTTTCAAGGAAAATAAAAGGAAAAGATATAAAAATTCTTTTATTAATTGAATAACTGAAAAATTTAAAAAAAAAAATTCTAACTTATTATGTCAATTGCAGGAAAACAGACTAATATTTTAGGGCTTATCCTGCATAATTGGGATAGATTCTGAAGATAATTATTTTCAATTGTTTAAATGTAATAAGAGTATAAAGCACAATGATTTATAGGTGCCAACATGAAATTCCAAAAAATAAATCACATGCACACAAAAGAACTCTATAGATATTTAATTTGGAATGTAACATGAATACACTTAATGAACACTGAACCACATTTAGCTCAATAACTATGAAATAATGTATGAAAACATAACTCAAATTTTATAAGTTCGTTTTTTAGCGTCAACACTAATTACGCAAAATAGAATCATAAGCTTGATGAACAGCACTCGCTACATCCATTGCACGTGACTTCAAAGATAGCTGTAAAAGAAAACATCATTATTATATGTTTTAAATACAAAACAGGCATTAAATAAAGAATTTAGTGGAAGACCATGTTAAATGGCATTTTGAAAATATTATTGACTATGACATAGTCAACAGATAGAATAGAATTTAGTTCAGTCAAACCCTTAAAAGGAAAAAAAAAATTTTTTTCAACGGGAAATGTTATTTTAAATAACTTTCTGAAGTTTCTGCACAAAAGCTGCCCATATTCACGAAAATGTTACTTAACATGTACATACATCCACTAAGATATTCAGTTATAAAATACTGTTTATCATAATTTTTCAAAACAAATAATGCTAATGGACATTTTTTAACAGAATTTTATATTGTGACAAGAAATATATTTAAGTTTCCTAATTCAGTACAAAAAATTGTGTGTTAAAAATACACATATCCATAAGTAGTAATGTCATATAATAAATGTTTACACTGAATATAACAATTTTTCCGCTGCCTTTATTGAAAAATTATAAGTTTTTAATAAAAAAATAACCTTAACATGACAAGATACTTTAAAAAATACATATACTTAACTGTGTCTTTTACTTAATACTGAATATTTTATTCACATAAATTTATTTTTCTGCTTTTTACATTTACATTTCACCTATATTCAGTCGGTCAAACAACTGATAGCCTATTGAATGTAGGTATAAAAAAAAATTCATAAAACAAATGTAACAAAACAGAAAATTAAAGAATAACCACCTTGTATTTAGATTTAAAAAAAGAAAAAAGATGGAAATTTGAATGTTTTTCCCTCATTATAAGACAAAAAAATATTCAATTATTAATGCTATTATAAATTTATGTGTACAAATAGCTTAATAATGAAATCTAAATATGAATGCATGAAGAAAAAATTCAACAGAGTATCTTATCAATATGATTTGATGATGTATCTTATGTATTGTATTTTTTATTGATGTATTATATATTTATTAACTTATTAAAATAGTAAGCTTTAATTTTTTAAGGGCATTTCAGCAATGAGTCTTAACTTTAATGGCTAAGTCAAACAGGCATTAATACTAAATCAATATTTTTTAAACAATTAATTTTCAGATTCATACCAAATATTTAGCTTACAAAGTCACTAGCCACATACTTTTATGGTATAATAAAACATTTAAGTAAATAAATAATCACCAAATTCAAAAATCTAACTTACAGTGAAAGCAGTTACACCAGGCTGTATTTTCATTTCAGCTAAAACCCATATGCCATTTGTTAACTTCAATGACTGATAGAGCATATCTTGACCATCTACATTACGCTTAGCAATAGTAAATATGTTATTATTTTGTAATTTTTGAGACACTTGATCTGAAAGGAAAATAATACTGGTCATTTACAATAAAATAATGTAATTTAAAAATTTAGATTGTCATAAGTTGCATATTTTGATAAAAATAAAAATTAAAAGAAAACACTATTGATATTTTTTTTTGAAGTTATTTTACAATTTAACATGGATAACAAATAAAAATATCAGCAGCTTTAAGTTATAACTTAATTTAAAATAATAAAACAAATTCTGTGTGAGTAAGTACATGTCTGGTAAACTATGCAAGACTTCTTTTTGGGGACATTTGAAAATACTAAGTACAATAATTAGTTCAATTTTTATCGAATTAATTTACCTTTTACTCGATTAAAAAAAATTGATGAAAAATATGTGTTTCCCAAACCAACATCACACACGCCAACTATACGGAAATCATAGTTTCAACTGAACTTTTTAATTGAATTTCTCCCCTTTTTTTCCTCGCTTCATTAAGAAGCTTATTTTGTTTCTTATAAAACTTTCTGTAAATTTTCAATTAAAAACATTTAACTTCATTCACTTTTTAGTTATTTTAACAATAATAGATGTATATTTAGATAATTATCAGATTTTGTTGTTAAAATTACTTACACTAAATATAGTTATATTTGCATAGATTACAAAAAGGTAAATATATGCATGCTTGTTTACTAAGACCAGGGTTGGCAGGTTTTTGACACGTGACAGTTTTTGACAGTTTAAACCATGGTTTAAACCGTCACGTCAAAAACCTCACTGTCAAAAAAGTCGAAAATGTCAAAAACCTATATTCATATGTGAAATTTAATTAATACATAAAATTTATATATTTTTTATAAGGGATAGTGTTTCTAAATATGTTCTAGAAAAAATAAATTTAAAATTTTGAAGAAACACTTATATTTTGAATAGTAACCAAAATCTTGTACTTTTGAAAGCTCACATCTTTTGTAATATTATGTATTCATTTTCATGTGTTATTGAAAATCTGCAGTGATATTATTAAGAAATTTATTTATAACCAAATTTAGTGTATAGTATAGATTATACTAAAAATTAGACATTTTTAAAGATAAACATTAGCAGTTTTGTACATTAGACATCTTCTTTTAAAGAAAAATCTTTTTAATATTCTTTTAAATCTTCTTAATAATCTTTTTAACATAAGACAATACAAATTTAAGTGCTTTCTGTTAAATACACAGAGTAGTTAGTGTCGATTTACAGTATATTCAGCCTATTCATTTACTATGCTGAAAATTTAGTTTATCCAAATACTTGTGAATTTCATTTTGCTGAATACTATATAGTTTTGTTGAATATCTAAATATTCAGCTGTTGAATAATTACTTCTTGCTTTCAAGATATGCATTATTTGTATTCTTAATACAAGTGGAGAAAAAAAAATTAAGAGATAAAAATTGTTTTAAAATGATAAGTGTAATAATTATAAATAAATATAATAAACAATATGAATTATATTTATCATTATTCACAAATATAACTACTTTTAAATTCAAATTAACATACTGGATAATAAAGATATTCGGTATAACATTAAAAATTTTTTTCATACACTTGTATCAAGTTTGTATTTATACAACATAACTTGTAAGTTCCTTATAAATATTAGTTATATGTTCCTTATATGTCAAAAATGCATAGTAATAAACTTTTAATTTTCTTAAGTATCAAAAAAAAAATTTTTTTTTTAAATATAAATATTTAAACAATTTTTGTGCAAAATTTTTCTGCACATGCATTTGAATATAAATTTCTGAGATTTTTAAATCTGTTATTTTACCTTAATTTTAATTAAAAAAATATTTTAAAATCTGCTAATTACCTATAGTATAATTAAATTTCAATCTAATGCATGGCAACTGTTGGTAGTTTTGAAGTTTATATATTTTCTTTGCAAACTTCAGTTTTTGACGGTTTAAACCAGTATTATACCCTTGTCATGTCAAAAACCACTTTTTGACGTCAAAAACCCAACCCTGACTAAGACTATATTTCATTTCATTTATGAAATAATATCGCTTGAGGAATTTATAAGATCTTTAAACCTTAACATAGAACTACTAAATATGTAGTTATCAATTAAAATAAACAAGCTACATTATTATTTTTTTCCAAACATGCATTATAATTGAAACTTTTAAAAGCTATAATTCTCAAACATAATACAAGTATACCTGTGCTTAAAACTATGTTATCTATTGTATATTGAACTTCATTTTGTGCTGGTATATCTTTCCAAGTAGAAAGGAACACTCTTTTATCCATCATGCCATCCTCAGTACAAAACACATGCAACGGGACTAAACAGCTAAAGTAAAATACATCAACATTGTTTTTGATAGCAACCTAAAAATAAGGACAAAGAGAAATTAGTTGTTATAATTATTCGGTATCTTATTTTAATACTTATTTTTACAGATCTGCAGTTTTAAGAAAAATGAAACAAAAACATTTCCTAAAAAGAAAAAACTTTTTTTTAATATGATTGTTCATTTGACCATTCAAAGACAGAATGACATTAATATTTCTTAGTTTGCCACATGAAAAGGAATTCCATATGAATACTAAATTTGAGTATACTTTTTTTTTAAAGAAAAAAAGAATATTATCTTCATCAAAAAACTATATTTATTTAAAACCATCTATTAATATAATAGTTGAATGAATAAAATCATAAAAAAGGAGAAAGTTCTAATTGTATAGAATTACGAATTAATCCTTTGCAGTTTATTAGCGACTAAGAGGTAAGTTAGCATAATGCAACAATTAGTAACCACTTTATACTGTGATCATTTGTTACTATATAAAAAAAATTATATTATGTATTAAAAAATTTTAGTGCTTAGATTTTTTCATTGGCTTGCTGAAAGTTGAATGCAAAGGATTAAGAAAGAAAAAAAGTACAATGCTAAAAAGGTATTACATTATATGCATGCCTTTGAGCCGTGGTGGCTCAGGGGATATAGCGCTCGCCTCCCAATGAGGTGACCCGGATTCGACCCCAGCGATAGCTGGTCAATTCAAATTCTGCACCCAGCTCGCACCGATCAAAATGCTGACGTAAAATATCCTTAGTGGTAGACAAATTATGGGTTCGAGTTCCCTTGCCAATTTTGTGACCAATGGCATGATAACGGCAATATGATCTTCTTTGTGCATTTACAGGATATCTGCTACATTTTAGATTTTCAAATTCATGACTTTCCATGACTAATTCCAAGAATTTTTCATGACTTTACGAAGTAACTATTTTCTCCGACAAAAACACAATAGTAAATTTAAAAAAGCTTCATAATAATACAGTACAGAACCCGTTATCCGGAAATCAGAAAACCGGAAAACCAAAAAACCGGATCGAAATTCGATACATTTTCCCGCTATTTTTTTTAAAAAAAAATTTTTTTTCCTCATAGATTTTAGGATTTTTCTTTCTTTTTTGAAAGATGTTTACCCTAGCATCATTTTGGAAATAATCATTAGTGTATTACTTCGTTTTTTCAAGATTATTTCCAAATTTTTTTTTTTTTTTAGTTGGGTTTAACAATAAAAAAAAAAAAAAGACTTTTGTAGCGATTCAGAAAACCGCAAAAATCAGTTATCCGGAATAGCGATGGTTCCGGATAATCGGTTTCCTACTGTATTAATAGAAATTATAGGTGTAACCAAAACTGTTATACTCTGCATCTTCATATTTATAGATTTTTAATTTAAAAAACAGAGAAAATAAAGATTTGAAGCAATAAAATAGCTCAAAAGTTTTTTTTTTTCTTCTTTTTCCACAAGATTATATTCTAAAGATACTTTTCTTGTTCAAGGGAAAGGAGAGAAATACTTCTGATTTTTCAGTTCTCATTTCAGAATAAAAATAATTCCCCAATCACTGGCTTACTTCAGCTAGAATTTTAAATTGATAAAATAAAAAAATGAATAATAAAAATTCTGAAATCACAGAGGTTTAAAAGATAATTTGTTCTAGAAATAACTTTTTTTTTTTTTTTGAAAGACAATGTGTAAAGAACATGATAAAAACATTTTATATTTTAATGAAATATGACTGAGGGTGGGGAGTTTGTTACAAATTCAGGTATTCGGAACACCAAGAAATTGGGGGAGGGGTAAATTGCAGTTTAATAATTAGATTTTTTGGCGACCTAAATTCATGACTTTCCATGACTTTTTTTTAAAAAAATAGTTAAAATCATGACATTTCATGACAAATTTTGTTGAAGACCAAAATTCATGACTTTCCAGGAGCGCGGATACCTGCATTTACTTCCCAGGCGAGATGATACCCAGCAATCTGAAGCCAGGAGGGCTTCAAGGCACCACCAGGAATTGAACCACAGTTCCTCAAGTGTGAAAGGATATAAATTGTAGTTATTTTCCAACCAAACTAAACCATTTTTCCAGATTGTTGGATATTGGGATAATCCCTCTATTCATCATTTGAAAAATCTTACGATATCTATATAGTGGTTTGGTGTCTATCAAATCTAAATTCAAATGAAGATTGAAACAACTGAATTAATAACTGTGAGATAACAAAACCCTACCATGGCTGCTAAGATGGATAGGAAAAAATCCAGTAGATTTAACAAAATATAAATTTTACGATAAATGTTGCGTAATCTGAATTCAGTGGTACGACATCCCAAAGAGGACCAAGGCCCACTGTGCCCATCCCAGTTTTCTTGACCTTGGGCTCTGATGTGCAGAAGGAGATGTTCTGGTCTGGTGGTCAGCTAAAAGCAGAACTCCCAGTGTTTAGTCCCCAAGCATTTACTCATTAATCGACTTATTTACTCATGGTACTCATTTTATCGACCAAATAAAGGGATGTAAGGCTAAGTCAACCTTGCCCTGCCCGAGGATTGAACCCAAGACCTGTGGCAGGCCAGCGTGAACACCCAGCCACCAGGTGTCATAATTGTTGCATAATGTACTAAATATTTCACAAATAGGGAATTTTAAGGATTTTTATAGTCATCAAAATAGAAAAACTAATATTTACTAGTCATGATTGCCATTAAATACGATTGAAATGTTATGTATTATATTTACTTATTTTGAATAGTGATAAACATTTAATTCATAAAAAATAGTTAAGATTTTTTAATTAAGTTAAAAAGAGAGTTCTGAATAAAAGTAAATTGAACATTTTAGAACAAAAAGAGTTTTAAACTGATTTCTATAAATGAGACTTGCTTCATTATATATTAGTAATATTTATTTAAATATTAAAGTAATATTTATTTAAATATATTAGTAATATTTATATAATATTACTATTTCACTACGGATTTTTTTAGAAAAATTACTCACTTTTAGAGAATTATCTTAAATGTACAAAAACTAGGAGAATTTTTATTATACAAGTAGACCAGGAGAAACTGACAAAATTCAGTAGTCTACTGGGAAATCCAGTACAGTTGGCAGCTATGCCTACTCTACAAGATTTACTGCATTTGCTAAAAAAAAATCCACATAAAAATTTTATAACGTAATAATGTTAATTAAGTTCAATAATTTCAAAAGTTTGAAGCAAGAAATCCTAAGGCTAAACAGGGTTTAATGTGCCTGGGGAAATTTAAATTAATATTAGGATGAAATTTTTTTAAAATTTATAACTGATAGAATATTATAAATAAATAAACCTAGATCCTTTTAACTTGTACTTAACAATTCTTATGCAAAGAAGAAGTTTAATACTAATTTTAATTTGTTCAAGGTACCTTGAACTGAGGAGTCCTGTGCCTGAACTATGTTTTATAAGTAGTGGATGGTTCCCTAGTTTGAACTATCAAATTTTGCAATTTTTACTAGCTTCATTGTTGAAATAAAAAGATATGGATTAAAAATCAAAATTGTTTCTTCAAATTGATTTCTTTTGAAATCAGCATTTATATTTGCATAAAAAATTCCAAACCAAAAAAATCGGAAATATCAGAACAAAAAAGCTGAAAATCAGAATAGCAGCAAAATATTTCTAATCAGGAAACCTATGAACCACAAGATTGCAAACTTCATGAAAGGTAAAAACTGGAAGGAAATTTTTCAATAAAATTGAAAATTTTAAAGTTCTTTATCAATCTTTAAAATTTTCAGCACTTAAATTATCCGTCAATATATAATTCCTTTGCTATACTTTTGGTGGTAACAAAAACCTTAAACATTTTTCTCAATGTTTCATCTTAAGTTACTTTGTTTTGCAGCTTGCTATCGAAGTAAGATTGTACATCTTAATGTAAAAGGTATACAAATAAGAAAAATATTTTTACGTAATGCACAATAGATTTTGGAGCACCAATTAAAATATATCTAATGCCAGGTTCACTATCCATTCATAATTTATACTAGTATTATTTGTTGCTTAATATGAATTAATAAAAATTCATATTCCTTAGGCAAAGAACATCCGGCATAGACAGACTACTTTTATTCCTTTATTAGTGTAAAACATAAATGGAATAAATAAAATAGTACCTGTAAATTTGTTAGTGGATCCATTTTTTGCACAGCACCCAATGTGTTTAGTTGAAGAGTAGCATCTACACTTGTATTTGGCATGAAAGGTGAGGGAACTTGGAGAGCTTTTGCTGGAGCTAAACCAAAGCTAACACAATCATAGGAAAAAAAGTATTATAATATATTATTAGTATAGTAATATATTATAGCATTGCCCTGTGGCAGAATTTTTTCAGGCTTTCTTTGCAAAACTCTCTAGTACTAATATTTTCTGCAAGATACTTTCAATAATAACAAAGATATTGATACAAATTTAAGGTTACAAACAAAAAAAAATCAATATATTTTTTTAATAAGTAATATTTTTTTATTCTAATATCATAGACAATATTCAAGCATTTTGTTGGGGGGCTTTATCGCATTTTGCAAATCATCATCACATTACAAAAATAATTAAATATTATGAAATCTATGGCAGTAATTACCAAAAAACAGATAGACAACTAAATCAGGCGAATTGGACTCTTCAGAAAGAGGTTACTCAAATGCATGTCTCGTTTCAAGATTTAATTGTTGTAATAAATAATATCGTATAAAAATATCAGGTTTTAAAACCTATGTGGAAATCAAAAGCAATATTTGTTAAAAAAAAACGATAGAATCAATGCGCAATTCGACTTTCCAATATAGACTGAAATATATCGGGATATCTAAAAGACCACATGAAAATCAGTGTTAATAACTGTTCAAATACAATCAAAATGGATTTACGATATCGGCATAAATTGAGCGCTTAAAAAAGTCATTTATATGCGCGATTCAAATTTTACATTCAAATTTCAGCAGAAAAGCAAACCAAATTTTTTTACTTCCCAAAAGAAAAATCTCTCTGCAAGAACTGTAAAGTTCTGCGACGATGTCGTCATGATTCTGCCACAGGGTAGTATTGTATAAAGATCTATTGCATAAAGATCTATTAATTTTCCAATTTTTAAAAAATTTGAAAACATTTTCAGAAATTAAATTTATGAAAGCTCAGGAACTACTTAAAAATAGAAATTCACAAGTGGTTACTGAAGTGATTTCACATCTGGACTGTTCAACCCCACAATTTGAAAAGAAAATCTAATACAATTTGAAATAATAAATGGATAACCAGTTTGAAAAATTTGTTTTTACTATTCTAATATCCAACAACTTTTAAAAGTATAACTAATACTACATTAAAATATTATTGATCCGAGCGATCAATAAATATTGCTCATTAATGATATTAATATTAACACCAAACATTTGGATTACCTATTTTTATTAAATTGTATTGCAAATCCTGCCATAGCCTGCATGGCTTTGTTATAAAAAGTCATTTCCATTAATACTTCTTTGTTTTTAACAGTGAAAGTGCCAGCAATTTCTAATCCTTTTCCTCTAGCAGCAGGTAACCAGACCTAAAAATGCAAAAATATTTTGAACATTACTAATATGTGAAATATATTATAAGAGTACATGAAATTAAATTTTCGCATTATAATACCTGTTTTGGAGGAGTATAGAATGAAGGAGCCTGCCCAACATTAAAAATATCATCTAACAGGCCAGCAGCACCAACATTTGGCTGAGGTGTAGTAGTTTCTGTTGTTCCAATCTCACCCAACTAAAAATGTACAAAAATATTTCAAAAGGTAAAAGAATGCTTCATAATTCCTTTAAGTAAAACATTCAACAAGCCAAAATTAATTTTTTCCGGGAAAGTTATATGAAAAACAAATCAAATACAAGAATTTTATAAATTAAAGGAGAGTCTAATAATATAGAAAAATAGACAAACTTTAAAGATAATGATTGAAGTATTACTCAAACTAAGAACAGATTCATAACTATAGGACAATTTCTGTATTTAGGTATGTCATATTTGTAAATTTTAAAATCACATAACTCAGTTTAAAAAGTATGAGCAATTCTAATACTTTTTCTCAAAATAAGTTTTGGTGTCATTTACACTTGCACCAATTTTTAGAGATTGTCATTAATTTATATACATATATATATATATATATACAGTCAGACCTCGATATAAGGTCATCCGCATATAAGGTCGGCCTGCATATAAGGTCACTTTCCGAAGTCCCGGCTCACTGAATAGGAATTCTTTGTTACAGATTATCGGATATATGGTCAAGTTTTAAAAATTGCTATCGCTTATAAGGTCATTTTTATCTGAGGCGAGGGAAGCTCTTTTCTAACTAAAGCCTATTTAACTTCCTTACAAGGCAATTACTCCTCTCGAGTTCTAGGAAAATGTTGCAGTCAACAAACAAGCTACAATTTCTGAAATTGTTTCTCAAGTTGTGGACACTGAGGACAATGACAGTGGTCCTGAGACAGTAGCTGTAACCCAAGTGGAAGTTTTCAATGCAATAAATGTGAGACGAAATTTTTTTACAATCCATAAGGGAGCTGAGGAACATTTTGAGAAGTTACGAAATCTATAAAACATTGGTAGAAAAATGAGACCAAAAACGAGACAGACCTGCATAAATGATTATTTTAAATAAGGTAAGATGTAATGAATGTATGTACACTTTGAGGAAATTTGTAAACAGCTTTATTTTAAATTAAATTTTTTTTTAAAATCTAACTTTCTTTAATTCTTTACAAATTCTGTTAAAATTTATTGACTTAAATATTTAATTCATGGCTGATCGTTTTCGTTCGTATTACCATTTTTAAAAAATCCTAATGTGTACTATTTACGTGCTTAATTACGAACTGCTAATGAATCGGTTAAAAGGTCACCCCGCTTATAAGGTCACTTTTGTAATGTCCCTTAGGGTGACCTTATATCGAGGTCAGACTGTGTATATGTATATATATATTTTATATGTATATATATATATATATAAAAAATTAGAAAAATTAGAAAATAGAAAAAATTAAAAACTTAGTGTTACAGACATGTTGTGTCTTTAACAGCTAATTTTACTTTTTTAAGATTTTTAAACATCTTAAAGTTTCTAAGCATGGGAGTAAAAATACTTATTTTCAAAAAAATTATTAGAACTGCTCAAATTTTTTTTTAACTTAGTTACAAGTTTAAAGTCTGTAAATACTACATTTGTAAATGGTGGAATCTTCCTACACTGCAATAATAAACTTTAAACAATTTTATATTTTATGCACAATATTTTTCAACTTCAAATGTGTAAAGGCCCTATTATCTTCAACAATTCTGATGCAATTATATGTCAAAAGCTATATTAAAATAGCCATCAATTATATTATCAATTTAGCTATTTTATATTCCCTACCTAATCATCATATTTATAAGTCATATAATTTCTTTTCAAAATTATCTTTTAGTTTCAAACTTCTTGATACAATTCAAAAATTGTCATCTAGAATAAATTTTTTAATTTCTTAAATTGATGAAATTCATTAATTTGTAATATATATTAGCTATAAGTGAATAATATTTATTTCATATATTTTTTATTAAAATACCTGGAAAAAAATTTCATAGAAAAAGACAAGGTTTTAAAAAACTTATTGAACGGTGAGTTAATAAAGGAAAAAGTGAACATGGAGCCCATGAACTTCTTAATCTGATTAAACAATAACGTTCAATATTTAAATGTATACTTATTTAACAGTCACTTTTATTAACTGTGCAGTTTTCTTTCAATGAAATAAAAAGATAGTATTTAATTAGCCTTCAATACTTACAAAGCTGTCAAGACCACCTCCTAGTAAATCTACAGCAGAACTTGGTGGAGCTGCTGCAGCAACTGGAACAGAAGGAGGTACAGCTGCAACTGGAGGCGCATTCAGATCAATGCTCAAGAGGTCACCAATTAAACTCTCACCGGTAGGAATAACAGCTGGTTGTTCTGGCACAGCAAGAGGACTACCAGTTGTGTGTTCCTCAGTGGAGCCAAGACTACAATAAGGAATGTGTGGGAAAACAAAAAGTAAAGATTTGTAAGAAAAGCACAAAACTTTACAAATAGAAAAAAACTGAATATAGATTGTTAAACTATCATAATAAATTCCCAACTGAAACAATGGGTAATTTTTTCACACCTTAGTGCAAATGTTTCTAAGAACTTGGTCAGATAGTTGATAGACAAAGTTTGAAGATGTTGCAGGTTGTTTTACAGAAAATAAAAAAAGTTGGTTTTTCTTTCTTAAATTTAAAAAAGAAATCAAAAAAAGTGGTTTAAATATTTTAAAAATAAATAGCCCATAATTTGAAACTTTTTTCCATACATAATTTTTTCCTTTGTTCTTTTTGTTCTTGAATTTTGAGTGCAAACAGAATTATTTAATCAATGCAGACTAAATGACAATTTGCTCAGGGCACAAAGCAAGTTTTGAATATATTTAGACCACAAAAAAAGGTATATTAATAAAAAACAATCTAAATAAATTAATAAGCCAAAATGTAAAAATATATGATAACGTACGAATTTTGTCTTGGCGGCAGAGATTTTCGAAGGCCTAGTCTGCCTTCAACAAATGCAGATGGAGGTTTATGATACACTGATGCTAAACTACTGATGTGACATATAAGTTCATCTAATAAAGTAGGTTCAAGTAAATCTGTTTCTTCAGATATTAAAGGTTTTTCAGCAAGAACAACTTCTTTGGCTGCAGCAGGATCTGTAGACAAGAGGCGCCAATAAATGAATCCACGATCTCTCAAATCCGGATTGTCACTGTCTTGAGTGGCTAAGCTTAAAACTTGTTGTACTAATTCTTGAGTTTCAGTTGGCCGCTTTAAGAACAACTTAACAATAGCAGTCAAAAGTTGAAGTTGCACCTAGAGATACAAAATCAATATTCATAATAGTTTTAAATTATATACACAACACAAAATATTAATTAAACATCAGAAACTGAAATGTTATAAAATATACTAGGGTTTACTACCCTTGCTCACTATCACTTTTACTCACTATCACTTTACAAAAGAGCTTTTGGATGCAGACTTGGATCCTTAAATGCAGACTCTCTGTGATTGCACATCATATACTAAAACAGGGTAGTCTAGGATTCTTGTTTAAACAATATGCATGCACAGTGCAAAATTGTCTAGCAATTCAACAGTTGCAAACTTGCAAGTATTTATTGTTGAAAGTAAATACACAAATAGTTCAAATAAATAGTGAAATTTCTCTTAATAGTAAAAATATACACGAATTATCAAGCAAATTTGAATTTTATTAAATTTAATTAGTATCAAAATTTAGCATAATTTATTACAAATTCCTTTATAGTAGTCAATAAAAAAAAAGATAATTAACACTTATGAATAGCACTTACTACGATGTTCTCACGCTTTTTATTTTCTTTAGTAAAGGCTACATGTTGAAATTGCAGAAAATTTCGTATTTTGAATTGGGAAGGGTTTATGTTCAGAGACTATATAAGATGCGCAAGTCTGAAAATGAACATAGCATGTGATAAGCGAATCTTCATATGATCTTATTTTGATTGATTGTTGTTTGAATGTTGTTGTGGTGGGAGAGCTTGCATGTGTCTGAAACCTTATGAGCTATGCTGGTATGAGCTAGCCTAGCAACTGGTAGAACTTTTCAAGTCAGACAGGTCATTGATGAGGCACCAGATGAAGAGTAACTCCCTGGTTCTCTGAGTGTGCGAGACCAACAACCTCACCCAGTTGAAAAAATAAATTACCAGAAAATTCAAATAGTGAAAACTGAACTGATCTCCCTTAGACAACATGGAATGAAAAAGAAACCGAGTCTAAAACACTTGGAATGTACTTGTAATTTACACAAGTAGGGCATTGAAAAATGTAACAGATGAATTTGCAAAATATAAATTAAACATTCTAGCAATGTAGAATGTTAGATGGCTAGGGAAAAATAAACCAGACAAGAAAACGTGTATATATTATAGCTGGAAAAAAATATCTTTTTGTTATGGACTTTAAGTGCAAAAATAAGACTTAGTAAAATAGATTTTGAGCCCATCAATGGATAAATGCGGAAAAAACATATTAAAGTCAAACCACAAAACATTAGCATAAGTGCACATGCTCCTACTGAGGAGAGAGCTAAAACAAAAAAAAATGTACGACAAACTTGAAAGAATATTTCGCTATTATTACAGTAGAGGTGCACAACCTGCGGCCCGCGGGCCAAATGCGGCCCTTCGACTACTGAAGTGCGGCCCGCGAGAGCTTCTAAACACAATAAAAAAAAATTTAAAAAATGGCAATTTTTAATCGCACTTTTAAGTCATCACGTTTTGACACAATCAATTTTAACAGATTCCTTAGTAAATGTACGTTTAACGCGCTTTCTTGAAGCCGAATTTATCGTAAATATAAATGATTTTTTTTAAACAGTTATTTTTGCTTTTCTACGTAATTTTGAAAATTCCAAATTTTTATTGCGACGCGAGTTTCAGATCGAAAATTTAAATAATCACTTTTTGTGCACTTTATTTGTGACTGAGAATAATATTTCGTGGAAAAACGCATTCATAAATTAACTCTAAAAAATAAGGCTAATCGAGAACGTTTTTGAAAATGTCGAAAAGCGAAACAGAGAACATAAAAATCAATCTTAATTTTTGAAAAATTTTCTTAAAGCTGAACATCTCAGTTTTTCAATTACCAGAAAAAGCCAAGAAAAAAGAATTAAGTCAACAGAAATGCTATTAAAATTACTGAGTTATAATGAAAACGTCTGAAAAAAGTTTTTTTTTTTATTTAAAGAAAATAAAAAGATAGAAAAAATGTTCTTTATGTAGTTCAAAAATGTAGTTAAGTGAAAATCTTATGCCGAAAATCTCAATTTAAATTTTTCTCATTGCCATAATTTTAGAAGAAAAAAAATTGCTATAAAATAAATTTTATTTGTAACTTTATTTTTTAAAAAATGCTCAGTCATAATAAGAATGCCTAAAAAAAGAAAAACAGAAAAAACAAATTTTTCTCAGTTCCTGAAACAAAACTTTAATACTGAAAATCACACTTTTCTATATAAGTAATGTCTATACAAATTCAGTAATAAAAAAAACTTAGAAAAATACATTTCTAAAAAATATTCTGCCAAATACTCGTTACATCCCTCCTTAATTTAAATGCAATGTTATTGTAACTTGAGAAATTCATAAAATGGCGGAAAATGTGAATTTTTAAACTACTCACTGTTTGTAGTTTAGATTTCAATTTTTTGTTGTTTAAGTGAACTTTTTCGGTAAAAAAAAGGAAAATGTTTACGATATAAAAAATCTAATAATTAATAAAATAAAATAATAAAGTACATTACAAAATAAGCATTGAATTTTATTTTGAACTATCTCTGTTTTGTTTTTATTTTAGGCTTTTGTTTAAAACCTATAAATTTTCTTCAATTAAAATATTTAATTTGAATTTATATTACTTAATTACGACTAAACTTTTTCCTACTTTCCTTCAGTGGGAATTGCAGTTTTTTTTAATTTATTAGAATTTAATTCTAAAATGAGTTTTCATATTGCATGATATGATAAAAAAAAAATTTTCTTTTCTTCAATGCTTATTTATTTTGATAAATCTATTGTTCATATGATAGCAATAGCAAGTCTTTTTTATTGATAAAAAAATGGAACTATAATGTTTAAATAAACATTATTACATTTGTCATTAACATGTCTAAATACATGTGCGGCCCTTCGTTAGCCAACCTGCTGTGCAAGTGGCCCTTCACTCAAAAAGGTTGTGCACTCCTATATTACAGTAACATACTTTATTTTATAAGTTATTTTTCAATGCAATTACTTCATTATCCTAACCACCAGGGTAATAGCCTTTTATAAATTATAGCCTTAGGAGATTCGTGGTAGTCTTCTTGTGAACGAAATGTCCATTCTATTTATCCTGAACATAAAAAGTGGCAGAAAGAAAAAAAATTGTAGACTAAATAATCACTAACTTATTTCATATCATATTTTGTTGCTGGATAAAGAAAATATATATTTTTCATGCATATTTATTGTTAGATATGAAAAACCTTGGAGATATTTACATAAAATCTTCAGATTCACTATGAAAGTATGATTCATATTTTTAGTTAAAATTTTGGAAAACTACTAATACGTAAATTTGTAACTAAAATGTTAAGGTACTTTTAGTTTATATGCAGTAAATATTTTTTATAGCAATAAATCTTTTAAAAAATCTAATAAAAAATTTTTGCAAAACCATATTGTTCAACTTATTCTATTTAAAATATCATCACAGAAGAGTCATTATATTACAGCTAGGAAAATATATTACCTGCATAAACAGTTATAAATATTCAACATCATTTAATTTTAAAAACACTCCATTTAAAACAATATTTATGTATGCAACACTTTCTCCTTAGAAGGAGGTATAAGTAAAAATTTAATAGAACATGCAATTACAATAATCACTTTAATCTGAAAACAATATAAAAGAAAATAAAGAGAATTCTCAACTTTTAGTGATAATAAAATAATTTATGTATAGTGAAAATGTTTGCATAGTATCGAATTATTTAATTGCTTGACAAAGAATGAGATAACACATCAAACGTCATAGCAACTACTGACTTTCACTCTTTGGAGACTCAGGAAATTGTATGCAGCTATTGCTATGATTGTAATAAAATTACTACATAAAACTACATTTTCATTATAAATTACTTACTGAAAGTCACAAAAATTTAATACACACAATCTTGCGTGTGCACGTGATTGCTTTATGCCAATCAGAATAAAGCTTTCTCCTTTCTCTTTATCTGGGATTACGACATTCACATTGAATGAGGTTTCAGGACCTCTGATAGCTGTCGGGGAAGTATGATAAACTGATTGATGAAATATAATGGGTCCTCTTTTTCTATCAATGACAATCGGAGGAACGGCAGTCTTATTCAGTGTAAATGCCCAAGTAAATATACTTCATATTTCACAATTCCTTGCCATGGAATGTGTGAATATTTCAAGAAACAAGTTAGACGTCTATGTGCATGACAACATTTGTTTAAGATTTAGGGACAATTCTAGTGATGTCCTTTGGGTGAATTCAAGTTATAGTAAAATTATTTCATTCACTTTGCACACTATTTAACATAGAATTATTACCATCCTCTGTTTGCCCCAAGTAAAGCTTTGAGTAAAAAGGACAGGTTTCTTTTAATTTTACCTATTTATAGTTTATCAAAGTCATTTTAAGTTTCACAGTTTTAATCAACTGTGTTGAAAAGGCAATTGTACTAAGCATATGGAAAAATAGATTACTTGATATGGTAAAGTTTTATTTTTAAAATAGAAATAAAATTCTATTTAAAACTTTTCATCTAAAACTTCTTTTCTCAGAAAAACTTGGAAATATTCAGTACCTGAGTATTTTCATCATGAAAACCTTCCAAAAAGCTCTCCAAGAGCTCATCAGCATTATCAATTCTTTCAGCATATTCTCCAATAATCCAAATCATGGATGCTCTAAAACATAAAATGCAAATATTAAATTATTTAGGTGTGACATTACTTAATACCAAACACTATAGGTAATGAGACTCCTATTTAGATTTAATAACTAAAAAAGAGATTTTCATAAAATAAAACTTTTTGATGTTCCCTCTTTTTCTTGATCTCAAAATTTTTCCTTATATTGCTTATTCATACACTTACAACTAATTTAGGTAATTTTAAATCAATAAGAATTCATTTGAATTGCACATGGTCATACAGCTCAAATTAATACATTCCAATATTATTTCACAGATCAGGATAGCTCTACACACTGAAAACTAGCCAAATACGAGGGGGGGGAAATATCACATAAATTGTGCTCTTATCATAAAATCAAAGGTAGAACATAAAAATTTCAAGTCATTCTTTTGAAAGCAGAACATAATTATTAATTTCACATATGATACAAAAAAAAAAACATGGTTTTTGATGAAAATTTATATTTAATTATAATATAATAAATAGTTCCAGTTGAAAAAATTCAATATATAGTATATGAGTTAACACTTTGCAAAACTTTAGAGTGATAAGTTCAAAATTACATAATTATGGTTCTTAATTAAAGATGAAATACATAATATAAATTTATAAAAACTATTAATTTTTATTAGCTAAATAATCTGCTCAATAGTGAAGGCAAATGAATAATTTTGAGAGTATGTACTAGTAAGTAATTATGCTTATTTTGTTTGAAAAATTTGTGATTTGACATTGCCTTGCATTTTGTGATATGGGCTATTCCACGGTAACTTACGTTACATTCACATAAACTTTATTGCATTGAGAACTTAGAAGCAAGCAAATAATAATACACATATTAAAATAGAGTGATTTCTGAAAATTACAATCAAAACCAAAAGGAATCTAATTAAAATAATTATTATTTTTCAATTTAAACAGTGTAAAAGCCTAAAATTAGTGTGGTAACTTACGTTACCGAAAAAGGAATGGCATAAATTTGCAATATACTTGAAGGCAAAATTCTGTTCTTATACAAAAGTTTCATGATTAAGATTATATGTATCATTTTTCTGACATGTTTAAATATTTCTTATGCCTAGATTTAAGATTTTATTTCAAAAGTTAAATTAAATATAATTTTTTAAGTGGGTAACTTACGTTACAGTAACTTACGTTACGAAATTCCCTTTGTATCAAACTTTTATCAAATAATGTACAAATGCAAATTAAGTTATTTAAACAGTATAGTGCAAGGGAGAAAAAGTGTACATGAAGTAAATTCAGATACTTTTGATTCACACATAACTGCAAACTTATTAAGTCCTCTGTTATTAACTAGTACAGGGGGCTCAATTCTTTTCACCATGCTTTCTTTCTGGTAGAATATTTCATCTCTTTTTTCTGGCCATTTACAATAGATTCCCACAGCAGCCATTACATTGACTTTAAATTCTTTCTCTGCAACAGACATTACCACACCAGGATATAACATGTCCTCCTATCTAACCATATATCAACCCCCAGCATTTATCTTGGATTCATCATTTTCTTTTTCAACATCTTTCACTAAAAAAAACTCTTCTGGTATGCCTTCTTGTACTCTTAAATGGTGGATCTGCTTAATGTTTTTAATCTGTGGAGATTTTGAGAATAGACTAGACACTCCACTCATCTGTTCTAGAGACTCGCACTCAGCTGTTTTTTCTAAACATAAAATAAATTTCTAAAGAATTTCGTAAGATGGAACATTATAAATTTTGCTGAAGGCTTCCTTAGTCAATCCGAACTTTTCATGATGCTTACAAACACAAACATTGCCTGGAAGTTTGCTACTAAGCAAGACATGCTTTGGACGGAGCTCAAAGAATTTAGTTTTTCCAATTTTGCATTCTGGATTTTCTTCCATAAACATTTGGTGCATTTCTCGAACTGAATGATGAAGATGCCGTGCTTGTACTTTCTTTTTGCTACCATTAGCATCTCTAATTATAACTACATCCTTAACTCCCGGTGCCTGTCGAAAGATTTCGTTCAACTTTGAAAACATATGAATGCCAACACCCAAATTAATAACTTAAAGCAAAGAGTTTCATTAAAATTAATATCTTAAGGCAGTGATAATTTATTTAAACTTTGGTATTGTAACTGGATACATCTTATTTAGTTTGTATGCCAATTTTCAAGAGGAATAAACTCATTTCACATTGGTAACTTACATTGCATGCATGTCAGTAACTTACGTTACACATATTGAATGGGGCACAAAACAATAAATAAGTAATATTTGAAAAGAAAACTATTGCTGCTTATTCAGTGTTAGCCTCTAAGGAAGAAAAAATATTATTCTTACTTTTGTATCACTTGTTCTTTTTTACACACAAAAACTTTTTCTAGTTTTCGGTAACTTACGTTACATGCATTAATATTTAGCTGAAATTTATATAATTAAGTGAATTTAACAAGAAAAAATTATTTTAACACTGCACAATATTTCTATTAAGTGTAATAAACAATATTTATTCTTTGGAACATTTTGAAATTAAAATAATGTTAACTTACTGATTTTCAAAAACTAACCATGTTCTTCACCCAAATCAGAACAAGTAAATGCCAATGTTCAATGGGTTACCCACACTAAAAAACTAAATTCTCAGAAAAAATAATTATAAATTATCAAACTTCAAACCTTTCTGATTCAGAAAACATTCAAAATTATAACATTATTCTTATTTGAATTTTCCAATGATTTTCCCCTTTTTCATGGAATTGCCCATATACAGTATTAAATGAAAATGTTAACATTTTAAGAGTGAGCTAAAAGTAGAGCCACACAACCTTTCTCCAATTTGAAAATCTCTTTAAATGGTATTAAATAATTTTGGCATTTTAATCAATGCTTTTTCTGAAAAATCTATTACCAAAAATGTGGCTTTACATGTTCAGTTTTGAAATCGCTCTCACTTTCCTGACCTTTATTGTCATCCTTTACACTGTACAAAATCTCTTCATCTGCATGCAGAAATTCAATTCTCCCTTCTCTTAAAAAGATGGGGTGAGTTACATAATCTGCTATTCTTCAATTTTCATTTGTTTCAAGTAATTCCAAAAACTATTTCTCCCCCCCCCCCTCCAATTGCAATTTTCTTCAAAAATGACAAATTAAAAAGATTACTGACTGAAAAATACTTATAAAAAGAGAACGACTTTATTTTATAGAAAATAACTAGAATGTTATTAAAATTTCCAATTAAAAATTTTCTCGTAAATGAAAATTAACTGCACAGAGACTTGTCAATTATTTTTCAGGTATTTTTGGTTTGAATATGACTAAATATAGATAATTTTTACATTAAACAATGACTTTTGGACATAGATTTAGTAAAGAAATAATTACTAAAATAGACAGACTAAGATTTAACAAATTGCAAGCTCTTGAAGGGTACTAAAAACAAACTTAATTCCCAAAAAATTATACATGTAAACTAGGATAACACGATATAATTTAAGTTTCAGAAGAAAATGTATTAATAAAAGCAAAAAAATGCCAATTAAATGTAACTGAATTCTTAACACATTTAACAAAACAGTTTGAAATTACCTAGCTTCAGGTTCATCCAGAGTGTCTAAATTTTCACATAGAGTAGAAATAATGCTCTCATATTTATTTGGATATTTTCTAAAGATATCCTAAAATAAAAAATTTGTATTTTATAAGAAAGAGGATTATATAGCAATAAATATTTTGTTTTTATGAAAATTAATGATAAAACAAACCTTTATAACAACAATAGCCTCTTGCACAACGTAATTGACTTTAGTTTGAATTAGATCAAGCAATGTACTAACACAACGCTCAGCAGAAGGTTCTACTTTTATAGCACATCTACCTATAGCACGAACAGCTTTGCGAACAAAATCTACATCTACCTCAGTAGCATACCTAAATAAATTGCACAATAATTATTTCAAATTTTGTAAGGCCAATAGGTTAGTACAGTATGTTTTTGTATGAAATATTTCTTAGTACTTAAAGTCTAAAACTAAACTCAGCGGCGCGACAGCCCTAAAGGGCCAAGGCCTACTGTGCCCATCTCAGTTTTCTTGACCTTGGGCTCTAGGGCGCAGGATCAGATGTTCCGGTCAGGTGGTCAGCCGAACGCAGAACCCCCAGTGTTAAGTTCCCAAGCATGCTTGGTACTCATTCATCGACCCACTGAAGGGATGAAAGGCTGAGACAACCTTGCCTGGCCCGAGGATCGAACCAGAGACCTGTGGCACGACAGCGTGAAGCGCTACCGCTCAGCCACCGGGCGTCCATTAAAGTCTATAAAAGGAAATAGGAAACTAGTCATGCACTCTGTAACATTGTATTAAAATAATTCTGTAATGCAATAAAAAATATCAAATTTTTGATAAAAACAAAAAAAGATAGAAAAATTAATTTAAATTTAATGTTATGATTATAAAATTATCAATTTACACCTTATGTCAAAAACTTATTGCAATTTTGTGCATTCTGCAAAAATATCTTAATGCTTCTTAAACTCACACTTAAAAAAAAAAAAAAACAATTTGAGGAGAAGATGAATTAATACAGAAACATGATTCCAATTTTCTAAGAAGTCATTGTTAAAAATTGCTGAAAAATGTTCGATTTTAAATTTAAGCTACATTGATACATATTTACTAAGGTGAAGATATTAAATGTATCCTGTATCTGATAGTCAATTTAAATTTAGAAGAAATTTCAGTAAGTAGCAAGTAAAACAGTCTAAACAATCATGTAATTCCATAAACTTTAAAAAAAATTACAAAACTCTATTGATTAAAACAAAACCTTTGAAACAGAGAAACAGCTACAACTAGAAATGTTACTAAAATAAACAATAATGCTCAAAAACTAAGTTAAAAATGGTTTTAAAATCAACAGAGCCAACAATATAAATCAACCAGTCACCAGAGACAACAATTCAAATTAAATGCCAAAATCAACAAATTAACAATAACAATTATAATAAATTGATTTTTAAAAAAAAGATTGAGTTATAACTAAAAAATTGAAAAGTAATGTTTAATATGATTTTTCCCATATTTAAAAAAAAATTTCAAAAGTAACAAAACAATTGAAAGTTTTCATACATGCTTTTATATCTATGTGTACAAAAGAGAAAAATATGTAGATGATAGGGTATTGAGTTCCCTTATTTCTTTAGGAATGCATTTGTGTAATTGCAATTATTTTTTCTTTATCAGCACATGAAAGTATCATAGAAATGTGAGATACTATATTACTAATTCATATATTTATTGTGGATGTCTAACTGTATTTAAATGTATTAATGCAGAAAGGACATAAAAGGAGCAAATAATTTTTTTAACTTTGTGAATAGTGAGTAAATATTAATTAGATAAGTTATGCTTAAATATATATTATATTTCTTAGAATAATAAAAGAATTATTAACTTTAAAACCTTTAATAATCATTGGATACTTTTCCTCGGAAATCTGCCCTTCAAATCAAAATTTAACAAAAAATATAAAAATTCTGGAAAATTATCTTGAAATGGACAAAAGTAACTTTTCCTTACTGTAGTTGTTCCTAAAAGAGATAAGTTATTTTGAAAGTTAATTATCAAAGTTTAGAATTAAGGTGCCATTTGTTTATGTGCAATATATATGCAATCAATATATATTGCATGCTATAGAGTAGAGAATAAAAATCTATTTGAATGAATCCTGGGCATACCACTGCAATAAAATATAACACATATTTAAAGAATATGCAAAACAATACATATGCAAAATAAACAAAAATTTTAAAAATAACTTACTCTTTCAACTCAGCTAACACTTGTGCTATGTTTGCTTGAGATGCCAGCCTAATCATAATGTCTAACTTTTCTAATTTCACATAAATAGGATCATTGTACTTGACAAAAAACACTTTCATTTCATGCTTCAAGATATCAGGTCTAAGGTGAAAGGGAAAAAATACTTTTAATATTTGCAACCAAAAGTAAAACATGGCAACAAAAATACACTTAAAAATGAAAGTAATAAACTATAATTAAATGCAGAATTTAATTTAATGAATAATGCAGAATTAGTTATAAATAAAAATATGACATACTTTACACCCTGTAACTGAAATGTGATCCTCATGTCATATTTTTTACACCCCTTCGATCGTTGTATGATCATAGACTGTTTCTGCAATTTAACTGTAACATTAGGTCATAATCAAAGTAAAAAGGTTGCTCATCAAAGAAGCTTCTCTTATGGCAAGTCACAAGTGTTATATTCTTCCTCTCCCAATAAAAGAATTTGGCGAAGTTTTCTCAAGTATGGATCAGGGGGAATTTTAACTGACTTTCAAACTCGCATCTGCTCAAGTTTCAATTTTAAAGATATTGAGTGATTGCAATCATTTGAAATATTAAAGTCTTAAGTAATATTTTATAAAAGAATTAAATATTTATATATAAAATGTAAATTATCAACACTTCTAATTTTTAACGGAATTTTGATTTAGGATTATTTTAACTGAATTTGGATACAATGGTGACTGACAAATATAGTTGAAGCTAATTATATAGATTACAATAAAATATAAATAAAATTTCGCCCTCTCAAAAAAGATTTTAACTCTTTAAATTACAAAACTAGAAATAAAATTTTAAAAAAAACTTGTTATTCATAAAGTTTGCATCACACACAATTAAAATTTAACTATTATAAATTATCCTAATTATCAATACAAAATTAAAGATGAAAACAAAAAATTACCTTTTCTGAACGATTAGGTTAATATTTCTAAGCGCAACATACTGCACTTCAGGTTCGCTAGACAAAAGGGTTACCAACGGAGGGGCTAACTTTTTAGTTAGAGTAGTAACAAATTCTGAATCAGGACTCATCATTTCCATCAGTTTCATCAAAACCTACAAATAATTATAAATAATTAATAAAATTACAAAAATAGCAAGAATTAAAATTTTAACAGAAGAAAATGATTAAATAAAAATGAGCAAAATTGTAAAATAGGTAGCTATTAATAATGAAGAAAATTGAAATTTAAAAACAGACTGCGAAATCAGCATAGGAATGTCTTACATAGCTTCAGTTGAGATTTAATTCCCCATGTGCAAAAACTGAGTGATTATATCTTAATGGTTTAGAATCCACATAAACGCTTCTGGTTTCTGATTCCGAAAAGTTAATATATGGTAGGGCAATTTGCAACCACCAATCTAGATTATGGTGAAGAGTGCAAATGCACCAGCATCGTCTTTGGGTTATATCTTTGAACATATTTAAAATTATACGCTCAGAGTAAGAAATCGCAAAACAACACAAGTAAAAAAAAAAACATGTACCTTAACAGCCGACAAGACCACAGCGGCATTGGCATGTGCCAAGCGAGGAGTGACTCTCTCAGCAATGCTGAAAATAAAATAATGCAAATTTATAGTTTTAAGGAGACAAAAATAGGATAATCTTTGCAAAATGCATTTAGAACATTTAAAATGAAATTATTACAACAGAAATTTAATAAAAATGCTATATAAATAAAATCCTTTACTAATGCTTTGGAATACAATTTAAAGAAGAAATGTTTAATCGTTAAAAGGAAATTTGATTCAATGACATTGATATGATCATATCAAATTCCAATTGCTGTAAAATATTCTATTCTGTTGTTGTTGTTGTTTCTCATCCCCACTAGTCTAGCGGAGCTAGACCAGGTCCATGAGTCCATTCACCCTCAGGAAATCAAAAAATAAGACCGGGTCACGCAGAAAATCCTCCATTTCAAAATCCACACAGCTAAGGAGGTGGGCCGGGATGGCTGAACTGGAGAAACATTTGTTGCAGTAAGATAGACCTTTTGCTGCTGCTCATACCTCATGCACTTTATGTGACCACTGATGAATCTAGTGAACGCAGTCTGATTGCCCCTTTCACCTCTGAAGGTCAAAGCACAACCCGGATTAACCCCAGAGAGCCAGATATGTACTGGGGGAGTATTCCAGACTAGCTGAACACCTTTCTTTCTAATGGAGTGAATTTCCGAGGATGTGAGTGCCAAACTCTCCGGCAGAGGTTCATTTGTGCCAAGTTTTGCCAGCGAGTCAGCGATCTTATTCCCAATATTCTATTCTTGCATCACATATTTAGAAAATGTTATAAAAGCAAGTCTTTTATATTTTATTAATATTTCTTTTTATATGTTTTTTAATAACAGATTTTGCTCTATAATTGTAACAATTTTTTTTATTATTATTATTAGACAGAAAGGCAGTTTCATATGCATAATTAATGCAGGAACAGTGCTAAGCACTCGCCACCTCGTTAAAAGCAATAAAAATGTAAATTTGGCAGAAAAAAATTTGGGTTTTGGCGAATGATTTTTTCTACCAAAAAGAAAAACATATATTCCCATCAATCATAAAAAAAAGTCAAAGGGAATTTTTCTGAACAAATCCTGTATTTTTCATTCGATTAACAGTAATGTCAGCAAGATATGTTGCATAACTAATTAGAATTAAATTAAGTCCAAATAATGTAAGCAACAAGAGAGATTACGTAAGCATAAGACCAACTACCATAAAATACAGATTACCACAATCGATTGCTAGATCAAGCAATATCACAGGACAAAGTTTTTCCTATAGTTATTGCTAATAAAACAGATTAAGCGGTAGCAATATGCATAGTATCATCCATTTATTGTTGAAGAAAAAAAAAATTTCTGACAATAACATATACTATAATGTGACAATTACATAATGTTGCCAAGGTTTATTCTTATAGTACTGCTCTAGTCTAAGAAGTATAAGAGTATATCAAAAATTAACCCAAATCTATTCCAACTTCATTTCCTAAAAGACAATAAAACATCTGCATTTTTCATCCTCTGTCCCAGTTATTTCTCTTGTACTCCTCTCTACTGCGCAATGACTCTTGATTTGAATTAGCATTTTATAAAATCAAATTGATAGTAAATTTGTATTTTAATTTGTAATTTCTATGCAAATAAAAATCAATTTCTGCTTTTGGCTAAAAAATTTTAAATTTTTCTAATACTTTTGATATTTGGTTAATTTACTGGCTATCCACTTTGATGTCCTCAGCGAGGGCCCTGTTAATGTCAACTCTAAATTATAGAAGAATGGATCTTGATTTCTTTTGACTACAGCTTAGATACATATGTATTTTCCAATGAAAATCAAGTGCGTGAACAACAATTTTTACCAAAATTTAAATCTACACTCGGTTGCAAAGTAAGAAAAGATTATGGTGTAGGTAAGTATCATCTGCAATTTCGTATGGGTCAAATTTTATTTCATTATCAAATTATACAAATGTGCATTTAATGCAAAACAAAAGGTGTTAAAAGTAAAAGTTATTAAACAAGCATTAAATTTGTGTCATTATTTATACCATATGAGTTACAGAAAATGGGAAACTATTTTAAATTCAACTGTAAAAAAAGAGAGAGCAAAGATCAAACAAGCTGAGGTTAATGTTGAGAGGCATCTGATTGGAATAAAAACTACATATTTTTTCTGATTCATTTTAAATCATTTGCAAAGTGAATTTTTGCTATTTCTTAGCAAAAAGCCCTCAAAAATAAATGATTGTTCAGTTTTTTATTCAGGCACTGGTTTTTTTTTTAAAACAAGATACATTCTTTGTTATCAGTTTTAGAACTCATCTTTATTAAATATCAAAAGTTCATTATCAACTTGCACTTGATATTATTTACAATTTTCCACTTATTGTTTTGAATTTTTTTTTTTTTTTTTTTTTTTTTGTGTTAAGTTGCTTTTGTTTTAAGGAAAAAAAATCTATCATTAATTCCATATAGTGATAAATTCAACTTTATTTTTCTAGCTAGTAGCAAATTGGCCAAAATTTTGATTAATAATATTTAACAATTTAATATCTATATACACTTTAATGATTTAATATCTATTTGGCAATAAGATAATAAAATTTATTTGAAGCCGTCAAATAACTTAAAACTTGTATTGTGCCTCAGAGTTCCAGTCAAAATTTGAATGTTTTAGCATATCTGAAAAAGATCACAATATTTGTGTATGTAGATTATGTCCATAGACAAGACATTCCCAAATGTAACAAAAAGATAATTTTCTATAATTTAGACAAATTTAAAACTAAATTCTGAAAATTGATTAAAAATTTAAATACTTAAAAGTATAGATATACTTATTTGTAAAATCAATTTACTAAATGATACAAATTCTGTAATGTCTACAGACATGTTGAATTAAGTAAATGTTGAACTATAAATAACTTTTTGATCATTTTTTTTTCATAGAAAAAAATTCGAAAAAGTTTCAAAGTAAATATACTGAAACAAAGTATGCACTTTTCTATACAGCCTTTAACAAAATATCTCCTTGAGAAAAATGCATAATATAACAGTTTGTAATTATCTCAATATTATTGTTTTTTAACAATAATTATTATAATTTAAAGCAATAAGGAATTTTAAAGTGCTCATAATTTTATGAATTACTCTTGCTACTCTTTCTAAACCTTTTTTTTAAAAAAATAGATGTTTATAAAGTGATAATAAATTTATAAAACTCATCTGATTACAAGATTAATAACCATACATTATTAGCTTTGTTCACAAATAAGTCAAGATCTGATTTCAAATTTTATTTTTTACAAAAGTATATTTTCTTAATCATTCAAAAATAATGCTTTAATTTTTAAATACAGACCTCCAATTTTATAATTAAACAATTATTTTAAGTTTTATTTAAGATTTTAAATACGATAATAGAAGCAGGCAAAGAGAATCGCCTTTTGATGTAAAGAAATTGTAACCCTTTGGTGCAAGTGAGTCAATATATATCATCATCTAGTCTAGCCAATGTCCTTTTTATAAATCTTTTCTGACGCTCTAGTTACAAGTAAAAATATATTTTGGTATTTTTTAATTATGAAAACAGTCTACTTGTTACTAAAATATTTGTTACATTCTCGGAATAGAAGTCATTCGAAAGTATAAAATCCAAAAACAAAATTGAAATTTTTTTTCACTTTTACTTAAAAATTTATGAATAATTGATTTTATAAATTAAAGAAATTTCAATGATGAATTACTATTTCTCTTAGACTAGATAACTGCAAATTTGAAGATTGTTTGGAAAATTTTACCTTTAACGAAAAAAGGGGCAGCAGTGTTTGATATCTTAGTTCATAACCAAAAATTATTGAAATGCAAAATATATTTCTCACTTATTTTGGCCTAAATTACTACAAAATAATAAAAAATATGTTTAATGAAAACTTTGCATCAAAGGGTTAACACCCTGAACAACTTTAAATCTAATGATTGGACTTCGGCTTACAAAGACACAATCGTAATGGCTCAAGGACCAAACCTTAAATGTACCAATTAGAACAAACTATGTCTAAATTTATGAAACCAAACACAGAAACATACTTTTTTTGAAGAAACAAACCTTTTTGTTTGAAGGATTTGGATTGTTGACCCTCAAAATATGAGGATAGTCACAATCTAAAAATATGGCGTCATTAGTTTAGGCAGGAGAATAGTATTAAGTTTAAACAGTTTAATGTTTAATTCATTTTTCTGCGTATTCCATTATATCTTGAAAAATTTTCCAGAAAATCGAGAAAAAAATTTCACACGATTATAAGATTTGTTTATCCAATCATTAGATCAAAAGCTATTCTGAATTTTCATTTTCTTTTAGCACTGTACATCACAACTGTGAAAGAGCAAAGCATTGATTTAATATTCAATTCTAGTAAACAGGCTGTCACCACAATAGTTTTTTCCTAATTTGCAACAGAGTATAGCAATTATATCATTCTATTCCGTAATCATTAATTAAAAGCATAATAAGTTCTTTTTGAGTAAAACAAAAACATATCTTATAATTTGCAATCCTAAAAAACAGTAAATTAGTTGTAATAATAAAGATGACAAATATGCTTACATAAAATTTTTGTAAAATAATGACTAGACTATTAATAAAAAGGTAGGGCATAAATTTTTGCTGAAGCTTTATAATTTAGTAAATAATATCACAACTTTCACACTTCCTACTTAATATTCTCAACACAAATAAATTTGCAAAATAAATCAAATTCTATGGCATATAATTAAAGTATCTGAATTCAATTCGAGTACTTAATTACTTTCAGATATTTTCCTGATACTTAATTACTTTCAAGATGTAAAATTTCAGTTTTAATCACCACTACTAAATTTTGAGAATTCCTGCACTGAACAAAAAATAAATTTTAATTTTCTTATTTTAAGCTTAGGTGAAAATAAAAAAAAGTTATTAATGAAAATTAAACGTAAATATTAACAAAACTTTACCTTTGAGCTTCTCTTTCATCTTTAGGATCACAATTAGCAAGAGAATCCAAAATAAACACCTGCCCCCATTCAGTGCATTCATTCAGAGCAGTCAAGAGCTTGTTTATCGTTTGTGCATTCATATCAATCAAATGCTGTCCGCTACTGGATGCTTCATTTATTTCCGAAAGTGCTGCCACAGCATTAGCAACAACCTTTGCAAAAATATTTGACCATTAAACTTGATAAACAAATAAATGGGAAATTTTTTATATGGAATACAAAAATTGCTGGAATCTATTTCTGAAAAATAAAAACTAATTTAAATATGATCAATTGTCTTAGAAGTACTAATTAACTATAAATCCAAAGAAAATATAAGGTGCGATAATATTTTTGATCTGGTCACACCAAGGAAAAGTATATTTATCAAACATAAAAAATGCAAATATGTTTCAATTTCATTTTTATCAAAACTTTTTATTTTTAATAAAATGAACATAAAAAAAAATCTTCAAAATTTTAAGAAAATATATTTTTAAATTTTTTGTTAAAATTACATTATTCAAAAAATTATTACAGTTTTTCAACAAAAAGGTTTAATGATGTGTAAGGTACGGTTTAATTTTCTGACCAAAATAATCCTAACAAAAGCATTCTACATTAGATTAACATTTACAAGACAGCTAAACTCAATATACTTTAACTTATATAAGAACTCAGTAATTTTTAGGGTGAAAATTATTAAAAAATTATGTCTTCTTCAAACATACTTCTAAAACATTTATAATGCATCAAATATCTGGAAGAGTGATTTTGCATTCCTTTATTAAATTTTTTAAAGTTCAAATTTTTTAAGCTAAATAAGTGTCCTGACACAGAATACTTATTAACATTTTTGATTTGTGAAAATATGAGAATTTAAAGCCATAAATCTACAATATCAAGTAATTAAGAAGCTGATACATTGCTGAGGTTTTAATAACGAAGCTCAACAAATTGTCAAGCTTTATCAAGCACATAAGGTTAAGGATAAATACCAAAAGCAGTTGTGAAAATTTATATCGGTTTTAGAACTATTTGAAACTAATTTACAATATAAAATATTAATGCATTACTTGTGACTGAATAATTCCCTTTGTGTTTTTCTTTAAGAATTGTCTATTAGACTTATGAGTTAACAAAAATTAAAATAAATAAATAATAATATAGTTTGAAATAAATAAAATAAAGTTAAAGTTCTGAAAATAAAGTTCAAATTTACAAATACATCGTAATTTACTTGTGTAATTTAATAAAAACACTTTGTAATTAAACATGTAAATTTCATTTAAATTAACAACCAAGTAAAGTTAAATTAACAACATGGACAGTTTTGTGCCTAGGACCCCCACACTTCTAGATCATGCCCTGTGCATTACAACTCTTTTTGTCATAATTTTACTCAATCCAAAATAGGAAAAATAACTCATTGGTGCACAGAAATAATTTATCAAAAATTAAAATCAACCTGTAGCAATTTTCCACTTATACAACAAAAATAAATTTTTTTGAGTAAGCCAAAAATTAAAGTCAAAAAGATGTCATGGAATAGGTTTCAGTAGCATTTTCCTAAGAAAGTCAAGGTAAATTAATACAATTATACCAAAATTTAGTTTTGAAAAAATAAAAAATAGATTGTAACATTTTGGAACAGCAAACTTCTAATTTGTTAGAAATAAAACTTAAGGTAAAAATTTATATGCAAAAAATAGTAATTATATTTAAAATTATATTAATGCAATCAATGTTGGTTAGCTAAAAAAAATTGCTGACCATAGGATTGGAATCTGACAAAAGATCTCTGAGCTGATCCAAAAATCCTTGGTCTTCTACGAGTTGGGCATTGATGTCGTGAAGCTTAGCAACTGACACTGCAGCTGTTTTCCTCACATATGGATCTTCATCTTTCAAACACTTTCGGAGAGGTTCACAAAGATACTCAGTTATCTTGTCCACACGAATACATCCCATGGTGCGAACAGCCAAAGCACGGATTAGGGGGTTGGCATCTTCACAATCCTGAAAATAATTAAAAAGGCACATTAGATAAGAGAGCAGGGTTCAATGTTTAGGTGGAAACATTACTGTAAGGGAACTAGCAAAAACCTCTATTTAACCTTACTGAAACTTCATAAATACACAAAAGAATGTAAGATTCGAGAAAACTATGTAATATCACAAAAATCATGTTATTTTCAGCTCTCAATTACAAACTAGATATATTTTCCAATCTCCTAGGCCAGTACAACAAGCAAAACATGTGCTGATAGTTGCACAATTCTTAGCATACCACTAAAATAGTATAAGCGGAAGCCTATTCAGTGACTTTTATGAGTGTGCAATCAATTTAATTTTATAAACAGACTTACACAATTGTCACTCTAGAAAACTATTTTATTTAAAGCAGTATCCAAATAAAATTTAAGGCAAGCATAATCTGATCAATTTTGCTAGCAATTAAAAACTGTGCTGTGTGATTACTGGGTCTTACATTAATTATACATATTGATGTTGAAAAATCATAATAAATCAAATTTATTAAATCAAAAACAAAAGGATTAAGTATAAAATTTGCTACAGCATTAAAAAGTAAAATCTGCCATTAAATAAAGGAAAGTTGTTAGGAATGGAATTATTGAAGAAAATATGCAAGCATACAATACATATGCAAACATTTTCAGAGACATTAACAAAAATATTTAAGATAAGAACATTACATTGTTATAAATAAATAAAATCTTAGTAAAAGTTTACTTCGATTAGTAACTGGTGTTTCAATTTTCTTTGACAAATATGCAGGAACAAAAAATTAGCTCATCCCATAATTCTAGATCACTGATAAAAAAAAAAAGTGCTAATTTAAAAAACATTTTTCTATTTAAACTTTTCACACACATGCATGCAATGATGCTATAGAATGCTTAAAAAAAGTAACGGCAACTTTAAACTATTCACAGAATTTGATATTATCAGGGAAAATTTAGATTGAGTCTGCCTTCTTTCAAATATTCTCCCCAACATGGCAGTGTAATTCATTAACGAATAAAAATACCCTAAAACAAATTTTGACACGAATTATTGTACTGCAAAACAAATATAGAGATTAGAATAACTGAGAAATCAGAGCCTTTTATTATTTTTTAATTGTGTCCGTTTTCAATTATAAGGATTCACAATACACATTCACTAATAATGTAAGAAATGAATATAAAAAGTTGCTCTACCAAAGAATATATAGAGAAGTAAATATCGAAAGCTCTTTTTACCTAAAACACATTCTTACTAACTTAAGAATCACAAATGCTGTAAAAAAAAAGCATCCAATGTAAGAATAGGAGAAAAGAGTGACCTTATTACTGGCAACCAAAGATGTTTGTCATGCAAAAATAAACATTGCATATTTAATGTAATTTATGACTCAGAGTTCCATTAATTCTCTCCTCAAGCAATAAAAATTGTTAATTTATTTTTCTCAGTAATGTTAATATGCAAACAGAAATAAATTCTATTTTTTAAGATTCTCAGTCCTAAGGCTATTAAAAAAAAAAAAAAAAAAAAAAAAAAAAAAAGGCTCTATGAAAAGACAATGGCTTCTTTATACAAAAGCTAGGGTTTGACAATACCCCACAGCGGCGTACGCAGAATTTTTTCGAGGGGGGTGTTCATAATTTTCTGAAACTAAAAGAAATTCGAGTCTGTAATAAAGCACTATTATTTCCCTAATTTAGACAGCTAGACAATTTCGACTTTTTATTTAGACAACATTGTTTAGTTAAAGTTTGATTTGATTTTTTAAGTTTAGGAACATAATGTAATATCTTCTGAAAAAAATTCAATGGTAATTCAATTATGGGTGTGAAGTAACACTTTGAGGACCACTTTCACATTCATCAGATTTCGTTATGCTAGAAACGTTTTCTTCAACGGAAGTATCACATTTCTATACAACAGAAAAACTTACATTGGTACTAGATGCTGTCACATCACTAATTTCAGGTCGTGATTGTTTCTCAAAATAATTAAAAATTGTTAAACTCTTGCGTTTTGACACCCTAAAGATCCAAGAACAACAAATACACACACACACATATATATATATATATTGGCACAGAAATATCCGCTATGCTAGGATCTCAAAGCTTCGAGCTGGAATGAATAACTTCAACGAGCACAGTATCTCCAATGGTATTGTTGCTGATTTTTTCACTAGTCGAAATAGTGGCGACGACGGGTTCGGCGATTGAATGAACTTTTTGTTAAGACAAAACAAAACAGATTTAGCGACAAGCGGCAGAGATAACTCTTAGTCTGACTAACTAACTCCACTGTACTCCGTTCCCCCTTTTATATAATTTTTCACCGCATCTCCAAAATTCTCGAATTGTCTCTAAGACGACAGAACGTCTAGGATTCCAGAATCATTGCGTAAAGACCTCGCGAATGACAGCTAGTTTCGAAAACTATACTGACAGGACAGAAAGGAACCAGTCCGTAACAGTATCACGTGAATTTGGTTTCAAAAGTACAACCCTATTATAGTAAATGTTTTTTCAGTATTCTGAGAAATACCGTGAGAAAAAAAAAGTAGGCATAAGGCAAATAAAAATATATAGTCTTAAAAAATAATAGCACGCATAATTTCTACTAAAAATTTTATTTTTGCCATTTTATCTGAGCTCAAGGGGGGTGTTTAAACCCCTCACTTGCGTACGCCACTGATACCCCATGCCATACTATTGATTCCTCAACTCATCTTAGCGAAGTTTTCATAACACTAACTTTGCCACATAATTTTCTAATTAAAAAGAATGAGGATAAACACTGTTAGAGGGCCATTACCTTCCACACACATATTTCTCTCCTTTCTTAATTCAACAATTTAATAAAAAACAAAGATTTTTCTTTTTCAAAAATGATCATAATGTGTACTTTAGTATGAAGAATCTTTTTTTATGGCTGAATGTTTAAAACTGCTGATCAACATTAAGACAAAAAGAACATTGCTTTGAATATATTGCAACAGTCTCATCTTTCCTACTATTTTATGATTTGGATATCATACATGCATTTGTTAGCTTAATCAGTACGAAAATAAAGTATGGACAGTTGGATTTTCATCAAGCTTCAATCAAGGTTTGCTTTTTCAACAAAAATTGTTGTTTCCTACATGAATGATAATAATGTCTTAATGCTCTCTAAACTTTTTTTTTACTATGTGAGACCTGAGGTTCCCTACAAAAAGAAAAAGAAAGTTTGAAATTTATTAATTATAAAATAACGCCTCAAACCATTTAAATTTCAATTGGATAAAAAATAATTGAAAATGGAATATAAAAAATAACTGAAATAACTAAAAAGAACTATAATTTTATAGATAAATCAGAAAATGTTATACTTTTACATTGCCTACATATAGAGGGGAAAAAGTACAAAAGATTACCTTAACAAAAGTGTTCACTGCCATGATAGCCATATCTGGCTGGCTTTTTGCATAGTTCATCAAGTATAAGTAAACCAGCTTCTTCAATTCCAAGTTGTCAGTTTGCATACAGTTAACGACATCAGGAAAGAGAGCACTAAAAACAAATCATAAAAATTTAATTAGTACATTTCATCTTAAACATTACTAAAATAGTTGGTGAATGCCATATATTTTTCATATACTAAAGACTTACAGAAATTTCAGAATTTTTAGAAAATAACTATCAAAAGTTGAAGTTAAACTAATTTTGTTTTACAAATTAAATTTTGTTTCACATGTGCTGTATCAGGTATTCTTCAGTATGGTATTTAATCTTCAGTTACCTTTTATAAACTACTTCAGACTATTTTTTTCACCTCTGATAAGAGAAATACTATATTTTATTAAACTTTTAAAAAATAATTTTAATACTAAATAAGGGTTATTCTCTTAGTTTGTTATCTTTTGCATCCTTAAACAATATTTTTCATTAAAATATCTATTTTCATCATTTAATGGTATGTTTCGCTTAAAATACTCACAAGGAGTAGAAGAATATGCAGACACATTATGTATTTAAATTATATTTTTAAAAAGATAAAATATGGGTAAAATGTCATTACTGTCTGTATCCCCAAAACAAGTTTGAACATTTTAAGTAATTTACAATATTATGAAAGTGTTAGACAGAATTTCATACATATTCTGATATAATATGACTATCTACTTGAATATTTATAATCAATATTCTTAGAATAATTTGCATATTTTGTTCAATGCATCACTATATATGTGTCTACCACTTTTGCACAATTACTGTCCCAAGTACAAAAAGTGTCAATGAAACACTTTAGATGGCACTTGTTGAATATAATATAACTTCAAGGCTGCAAAAAGCACTCTTTTCAACAGAACAGTAAAATTTAATTGCAGTACCATTTCTTTTGGGGTCAATACCTTAATTTTACCTTAAAAAATCTGTCAGTGTCTTTATTGAATGTAATTGCTAGACTGTACTAAAAGAATACAAAAAATTTTAATTCTAAACTGACAAAACTTCTTTGAAAAAAACACGCTTAAAAGCAGCAGAAATTTCAAAAAAAGAAAGAATAAATATAGCAATAAAGGAAACGAAGGAAATAAAAATAAAAATATGACCACCGAAGCCAAGGTCTTCAGGGTGTACCGGCCCCGGTAGCCATAAAACAAAACCTTTTCTATTGAGAGAGAGGGCAAATGCCTAAATTAACTACCGCAGTACCCTGAAGGTTTTGTATAGAAGTCCAGGAAAAAAACATTAAATACATAGAACCAATTCAGAAAAAAAACTCAAACAAAATCATCAGAAAATAAAAACTCACATCAACCACTAGACTCAAATAATTACTAGACAGTTAATTTTTATCAAAGAAATTGCAGGCAAGAAAATTTCTCATTTAAACAAAATGTAATAACTCTTCTAAAATATGAATAGCTTAGTTAAAAAATTAACAGTTTTTCATCTATTTGAAAAAAATTGTTTAATACCGGAATCTCAACCAAAAATATAATTAATGGGAACAGTAATTACGAAAGGATCTATAATTACTTTACTATTTGAAAAACTTTTGATTTGTTTGATACATTTAGTTATGCTATTACAAATTTAGTTCATCTTCAGAATTTAAACAATATTAAAAACACTATTATTTGATAATAAGAACCTCATAAACATAAAAACACTAAATTTTAAAACTTAAGAACAAATTTATGACTGTTATTACATTTTTCAAGAAAAAGTTCAAATAACCTACAAACAAATGTCTAATATCAAAAGCATTCTGTTTTGTGTCCCAACTTAAGCTGGATTTATAAAATTAAAACATTATTTTTGTAAAGTAAAAATTGAATGTTGAAAAAAAAATTTCTCTTTAAAATTTTAACTGCAATTCTATTTATACTTTAAATTTTAAATAAAAATATGATAATTTAGAAAATTTGCATCATTGCTTTAAGTTTTAATTTCAACAACATTATCTGAATTTTGTAATTATTTTTTTTTTCATCAGTTTTTATTAAAAATTCAGAATTAAAAATATTTTGAGTTAAAAATTTTTAATTAAGTTTTTAATTTCAAGAATTTTACTTACTATTACTGAAAATTATATCTAATTATCTCAGCAGTCAACATGTTTTGTTTAATGCATAAAAAAACAATTNTATATATAATAACAGGGCTACATCCCTGTTATCATTGTTGTATTCAGCTTTAATAATGCAGTCATAAGCTATAATACATTCTAAAAAGGTTTATTTAAAGGTAGGCTGGCGGTTATAACAGTTCACATCCCCACTCCACAAGGGAGGGGGTGGACAAAACTCCAAATGGTTCCGGCAGATCTTACAAGGAATATGTGATACAGCAAGAGTCATGTGAAAACCATCGGTCCCGCATTAAATACTTACAAATTTTGATGTAAACAGGTTCCAGTTGTACAGATCTTGTCATACATACGGATTATGGAAAATCATTTAATGCTTCCTAATATGGAAGTGAAAGAGGATCAAGATTCTAAAAATAACTCCTCCTTTGAAATATAAATCTAATTATAATTCAATGGTATGTTTTCAGCCCTGAAGTCCCAAAATAGAATTTCTACACATATTCTTTATATAAAGACATTTAATGAAAACGAAAGAGTTTTAATGTTGTTATTAATACAAAAGTATTTATAATTTTTGTATTACATATATATATATATATACGATTTTTATACGATTTTTCAAGCCTTGATTCAATCCCATTCTAATCAGTTTCACATCTGAATATTAAATATTAAAAATAAAATTCAGCTTTTCTTAAAAATAGGCAAAAACTAGAATTGTAATGTCAGCCAACAAAATGTTAAAATAATCAGGTGCAAAGTTTTTATTTAGACTTTATTTATAATTAAAATTTTACCTGACATCTTTCCCAACAGTCATAGAAGCAATAACTTTCTTAACAGCTTCCCTTTTCTTCTCCTTCTTGTCACTGTTCAGTTCACTTTTGAGTTCAAAGATTTCACCTATTAATTATTAAAACATGAAGAGAAAGACAATAAATAATAATAAGAGATAAAAATACTTAGTAATCTAGACGTTGAAAGTTCAAAAAGGTTTCTTAAACATATTTTTCAATTAAAAGTACCTTTTTTGGTGGTTGTAAAATACTTTGCATCAGTCATGGTTTCGTGCTGATTTCTTCAACTGAATATGTAAAAAGTTGAATATCTATAAATAAAAATAATTTTAAATAATAAATTAAAATCAAATAAAATTCAAAACATAAAATAAATATGCAAAATAGAATAAACTAATATATATATATTAAAATTTATTTTTTATAAATTACAGTAGTCAGTTTTCAAGAACATGCTATGAAAAAATAACATTTAATTTAGTCTACTTGAAAATATTTTGAATAGTAATGCAATAAGCAGCAGCTCTGCCTACTTCTAATGTAATTAGAGAACTACGCACGACTTACATTCTTTGATTGGTTGAGAGCTAAAATTTACAGAAAAGAAACAAAACCAATATTTTCTAGAATATGGAGTCATTGACATGACAGTTTTTTCATGCTCAATGTTAAAAGCTCAATGCTTAAAATTAAAACTATTCAAAAACTTTTCAAAAATACTTACATGCTAAATTGTTTAATATCCACATATTTTGTGAAATACTTAAATTTCAAAAACTGTAGTAACTCCGACAGGTATTTTTAAAGTTATGGTATTTATTGGTATTTTTAAGTTATTTATATTGCGATATGCCAAATAAACATAAAAGCTTTTGATAAAACTTTAGTTTTCTACCAAGAAATTTAAAGAAAAATTTTACAAGCCAATAAAAAAATACACTATCATATTTTAATATTTAAAGAGCTGAACTAATTACAATAGTTTGTGAAACTTTACAGAAGTTTAGTATCTCTTGGCAGATAAAAACAATGTAAATGTTGGCTGGTAAGAAATTTAATTCAGTTAAATATAGCAACAAAAAACTTTTTCAATTGATAATATTGTTTATTAATTACTTAACTTTAATAAATTATTTTTATTTGTCATTGATTAAATAAAATAAAAAAATAACATAAGCAACAACATTAAAAATTATTATAAAACACTGAGGTCCAACACGAACAAAAAACCAAAGACTCAAGACAAACGTCATTTCTCTCTTCAGGATAATTTTGAAGCAGTCTGTTCAGATTCTTAACATAGGGACTCAACTTTATGTATACCTGCCTTTTTGCCATATAGGTATAATAAGTCGTCATATAAATTCCAAACAATAGAAAACTCAGTTCAATTTCAAACATTAAAAAAATATTCCATTTATTCAATTGAATATATTTTTTAAATTATAAGTTTACCATTTAATATAGCTTTTAATAAAAAATAAAAAAAATATTTTCCAATAATGTAAACATGACAGTTACTATTTAATTTTTTGGGAAGTAAATTTTACTTCATCTAATTTATAAACATTTCACATTTTATATAAAGTTATAACATATTGTGCACATTATTGCTAGTGTCCAATTCTTTGCAATTTATAAAATAAATTATCATAAAGATCTCTTTATCTAGTAAATTACTTTAATTCTGAAAAAATTATGTTTTAAATAAAATTGGCGATCAAAATGGGCTACTGGTTGCGCAGTGCCGAACTCTCTACCTATGGCAACACTTTACATGCTTTCACCATTAACGTGTGAAGAGTCATAGAAGAAGGAAATACGACAGTTTCTGTCTTGATTTTCATATAGATTAAAATCTTTTAAGTTGGGATACTATATGGAACTGAAAACTACATTAAACACACTTCTAATAGAAATCATGGAAATTTTTATAAAAAAATATTTTTATTAATTAAAAACAAAAAATATTAGAAAAGGACAAATATTGTAGTACATTCCTATATAACTGAAAAGAGGAGGAAAGTGAAGGGAGAAGGGCCAAAGGCATGGAACCGGTCTTCTCCCCGGGTGGCGTATTCGAGCATTGCAATCCTCATTGAAATCTGTTCTTAAGAAGAATTCTAATTTTTCACAGCCACATACTTTTACATCTGAAGATGAACAGTGTCTTGTCTTGATCTGTTTAAATTTCAAACATTTGTTCTCGGCACTGAGGCAAACAGGTGCTGACTCGTTTAGTAAGAAGTGTCTATGTGTTAGTCTTGTTTGACCTAATTATTAGAACTATTTTAATCTATTTATTAGAACTTCAATTCTTCTTGAGTAATTTAGGATTTTAAAAGGGTTTCTGTCTACCAATTAGTATTTAAAGCACAATTATTGTAAATATTAAAATTATTTACATTGAAGTACATCATTTGTTATAAATCAGAAATAGAAAATAAGTGTAAAAAATTGTTCTGAGACTTTGTATTTATTAGCTGCAATTACTTTAAAATTTATTTTATCTGTAAATCAAGGCTTGAAAATTATAATTAGTGAATTTTGTCTAGCAAAATGCTTGGTTTTAAACCAAACTTGCATATTTTTCCCAAATTAGAGAGTTTCCGTTATTTACATGATATTTAATGTCGACCCAATTTAGTGTTGTTTTTTACATGTCTAAAGACATGCGGCACACAAATATGAAGTGTTAAAAATATGGGGACAAATATATTTTTTTAAATTTTATTTTTAAGATTATAATAATTTTGCACCAATTATGTTTTAATTAAGTTTTTATAACTTTATGTATTTTTTTTCACTAAAAAATTCTTTATACAGCATCAGTTAACATTTTAAAAGTTGTTCACAGTTTTCATGAAAATAGTGATGAGAAATTTTAATTATGGCTAGTACCTTTAGAATTAAAATTTCATGCCCAGATATAAGTTTTTTTTTTTTCAACAGTTAACTAGTTAACAAAAAAAATTTGCATGTCTAATTTGAAAGAATCATGACAGTAGAGCGACAATAGTCAATAAATGTTCTTCAAATGTTGCTAAAATCATAAGTTTGAAATTTATGATATAATAACGAAAAATAGTTTAACATCGAATTCCACGCATTTAAAAAAAAATTACTTATTTTATTATTCCACAAGAAGATTCCAGATAGCGAATACAATAAAGAAAAAAGATAAATATTAACATATCTAATGTTTTGATCAGTGTTTAGTGTTACTATTGATGCTGTCAAAAGTTTTAATATAGTGCAAGGTACCAAGTTTCTTGAGTTTCAAGAAGAAATACTCAAAACTGGTTGCTTTAATTGATTCAAAATTCAACTGTGAACCCTCCAATTTTCCAATACATGTCAAAAGTTGCTCCAAAGCACGGACTCTAATCGTAATAATAGGTTTCCTTCCGTATGCCACATGACTTCAAAAGAATTTTGGATTTTCAATGCTACAAAATTGCAAAAACAAATCTTTCACCCTATGAAAATTAAGATATCAAAACTGAATCTTCAATGAAGATTTTAATTCAGATTTTAAAGATGAAGCTCTCTTGAAAAGTTAGCAGAGTGGGGGCTTTTTAAAAATTTATCTAGTGGCAATAATTAGAGGCGCTTTTCAAAAATCTATCTAGTGGCAATAATTAGAGGCATCTAAGCTGTAAATAAATTTTGAAAGTGTTTATAGTCAGTGATTACATTGATATCTATACAAATATTTATAATTGGTTAATGATTTGAGAAATCATTCTTGTTAATAGTACTTCATGTGAGAGAATTCAGTTTTAAAATACAAAATAAAGACAATTTTAAGGAATAAGTTATCTAATGAAACCATGGACAGCCATATGCTTCATAAGAATTTGTGCAAAGGGACTAAACCTTTCAGTTTTTCCACTTGAAAATTTTAAAATATCACAATTGTTCACACAGTTGATAAAGGTGTTTTATATTTTTAAATGTTATTTTGTTGGTTGAAGAAAAAATACTAGGAATTTGTACTTTTCAAGGAATTTTGATAAGAGATCAGATTTTCTTTCATTGGTGCAGTATGCGTATAGGTACATTCAGATCAATTAATGGCATAATTGATCTGAATGTACCTATACACAAATGCATTTATTCCAAATTGATGTTCAGCTTGTACATAAGCTGATTTAAGAGGTCAGTAGTGGAAGTAGTTTACAAATTTCTGACAAAATTTTGAAAATTTATTTTTCGTGAAAAAGATTAATTAAGAATAATCTAGAAGGAACAGGAGCCGATAATGGACCTCTCAGGCAAAAAGGGACCATCTTATAAAATAAGGACCAATTAGGAAAGATGGACCTACAAGCAGCCCTGCCATTCAGGTTAAAGATTATTTAAATTTTTTAGTTTCTAAAGGTAATTAACCTTTTACTAAACATCTTTATTTCTCTTATTAATTTTTAATATGGTATTCGTTTATGCTTAAGTTTCAATAGACTTTCAGTTAAAAACGTTACCCCGCAGGAATTTGTGAGTTAATTATTAAAAATACTGAAGAAAGAAAGAAACCGGTTGATATGACATAATATATTTACAAAAAAGAATTAACAATAAATGTATAAAAAAATTCTTACGCCAGCGTAATTTAAAAATAAAAACAAATTAAGAATTAAAAGAAATTTAATACAGAAAAATACATATAATAAGCTTCTGTTAACAAAATAGAACTAGCACATATATGGACCTGATACCTGCGACCCAATAGCTGAAAATATCTGTTAAGAATAAATGTGCAACTTTACTATGTGATAATGTTAAAGAAGTACATTAAAATTGTAAAATAAATATTCCATTCTCGTCATTCCCGTTTTACTCACATAACAGCCAATTTCTTATATGCTGAGATGTCACAACAGACGAATTCCCGAAATCCTTTAGTTTACGCCTTCATAAAAAATGAAAGTATTAGTTTTTACTTTTACGTTGAAGAAAAACAAAAAAAATTCTAAGTTGAGGACATTGTCCCCAAAAAGTGTTTCAAGCTGATTTCCACACATACGGTTTTTGCATTCGGGTTAAATCTTTGAAGGGTTAATTCTCGCTGTATATGATTAACGCACTTCTAAACACCGTGTGAAGAAAATGCATCCGAGTTCCATAATGTGAGGCAAATCTTAAAAGTTTTAGGTTTCTAATGAAGATTAACATAGATATAAAAACTTATATCTATGTTAATCTTCATTAGAAACCTAAAACTTTTAAGATTTGAATTTAGTTTTAAGAGTTTTTTGTCCCACAGTGGACTGATCATGGTGACCACTTTGATCGATCAGCGATGGGATGAGGGTGGACGGTATAAGTCTTCGTTAAAATGTTCCACCGCAAAGTCGTCAACTTCATGTGTATATTGTCGGGCTATACGCAATCCTCACACTGAATAATGAACGCAATCCTTACAAAGCTATAAACATAAGCTTATCGCTATAAACAATCCTTACAAAGGATAATAATTGCTATAAGCAATCATTACATTGACTAATAAACACTAATAATTGATAATACAATGATGGTTTAAGGTGGAAATTGGTTGAATGGCTATTTCACTCGCTGTTTCATGGAATTTTAAACCTTGTCTAACTCATTAATAAGGTTTAGACTAAAAGTTGAAATTTAGCATGAAAAATGACACTGGAAAGCACCTTTTTTGTTGCATTTATAGAAAATACTTGATATTGCCCAGATTGGATTGCAGCGATTTCAAGTCTGAAATTAGCTTTACTCCTACACTGTAATTATAAAAAAGAAATCCTGATACGTTTCTAAATATATGAGGCAGTTGCGGTGCAAGTAATTTTCAAAAACGTTTCTGAATATTTTAAAAACCTCTTTCTGTAATATTCAGAAACAATTCGCAGTAGAAATATTTTAAATCGTTTCTTGCAGTTTCGGTTTTTTTCTTCTTCCATTATTCTCCATATATTGAAGCTTTTTCTAGCAGCGTATCATTATACTTCGGGAAACCTCTTGAGGAACTAGGTTACCAACAATGCCACCAGCCATCTGCCAAAAGGTACCTCAAGAAAAACTTTGATTTGATTTATTGGTAGTACATACATTTGCAGACTTGTGTGCTCAATTAAGGCTTATAAACCTTTGTCAAGTAGAAGGACAGATATTACAATCTAGAACAGGGCATCACAAATAATACATTCAAGGTTTCGGCGGGATTCGAACCAGCCACCTCTACGCTAAACCGAGCGTTTGACAGACGATTCAGGGGGGCCCAAGGAAACCTTTGCGAGTTAACAAGTCTTATATACTAGTGAACTGGAATTTAATAGTTGTAGTGGTAGCTAAGCTATTCTCTGAAACTGAACTACTTTTGAAAATAAAAGAAATATTTCTCAATTGATCGGGAACATGATATATTAGATGAAGTTCTCGGAGATTTTCAGAGAAATATTTTTGTCGAGCCAAAATTAGTTTCTGAAATTTTTTACAGTGTAAAGCTACATAAGGAACATCATTAGGGCACATCATCAAGACTAAAATTGCATAGAAACCCATGACCGGAAAAGTCGTTGTACATGGCTAGGAGCACTTCCCCGATCAGAAGCACACGAAGAAACAATTCTTAATAAAGGAAGTACCACTAGCAGCGTATAATGAGATTTTCGAGCGTGGGTCCCAATTTTAACCCTAATGATGTTTTTAATGATGTGTTTGTTGAATTTTAATCCGATTTGACCCTGCATTTACGGTGACAAAAAATAGACTAAAAATGTTATTTAAAAAAAATTGTAGCTTGGAGAGAGAAACCGATTGCTGATTTAAAATAAGCTATACGAAAACAACTAAGATTTGTTCAAAAATCTGATGCAACAAGAAGCAAAAAAAATAATTGTTTCCCATCATTATCTAATTTTTACTCAAATGTAATAGGCACCATTGCAAGTGTATGTTATGTAAAATCAATTTGCAACAAAAATCAGTTTTTGTATTTGTAAAAAAGTTCTATAAAATTCTTTGAACATTCATATAAATGACGTTACATTGCAGCTATTCGTGCATTTTTATTTTATGAATTTTCCATACTTTACCCTTGAATTATTTTATTAGATTTTAATGTATTGCGATGAATAATCAGGCAGTTTTATTTCATATGAAACTATGTTGAGTTCCACGTTCCTTTATTAAAAAAATGCATAATATTTGTCAAATATCTGTCTGATAGCTCAGGGGATAGAGCGGTCACCTTCCAATGAGGTGAACCGGGTTCGAATCCCAGCAATGCCTGGTCGATTCGAATTCCGCACCCAGCTTGAATCGATCACAGTGCTGACGTAAAATATCCTCATTGGTAGACGGATCATGGGTTAGAGTTCATTTTCCGTCAAGCAAACCGTGGGTGGTTTTCCTCTCTATGCAGTGCAAATGCGGGTTAGTTCCATCAAAAAGTCCTCCACGAAGGCAAATTTGGAGCTGTACATTAATAGTTGTAAACCCAAAAGTGGGTCAGCTGTTCAGTGACGGTTACAAAATAAAATATCTGTCTGAGAGCAGTGGTGCTTCAGGGGATAGAGCATTCACCTTGGTGATAAGGTCTACCTCGGGTTCGAATCACAGAGATGGTAGGTCGATACGAATTGCGCACCCTGCTCGCACAGATCACATTGCTGACGTAGAGTATAATCAGTGGCAATCGGATTATGGGTTATCGGAGTCCCTTTGCCTTCAGGCTAACAGTAGAAGGTTTAGCATGTAACGCAAATGCGAGTAAATAATTAAAATTGGGGCGTTATAATTAAAGCACGACTGGCCACCGCTGGGATTCGAACACGGTTCATTGGAAGGCGAGCGCTCTATCCCCTGAACCACCACGTCCCTATGTCACAAAATAAAAGGTATTAGATTATGATGTAGTAGGCGGTGATTTGGTAAGGGTAACTGAAATCTAGTCAATTATATCCATGTGTGAACCAACCGCCTGTCTTGAAGTTTAAAATGGGAATCACGAATTCTTAAGCATTTTTATCGACCATTTCTCTCTATTTTATAACTCTTAATAGGCTCAACTCTGTCGCTTTAATCCAGTCGTCAGAAGAATATCTTTTGAATGACCAAAATACACGTTTTCTTCTAATATGATCATAAGAAATTCAAGCAGAAACCCAGCTTAATTTATTTAACACGTTGTAAAAGTGTTGAGTGTCATGTGGACAAAAAATTATTAAATTTTGATATCAAGCTAGGCCCATCAGTATAATATGGAAATTTAGTATTAAAATTACTAGCATGGAAATTTGTATTTATGAACTAATTTAAAGAGAAAATAGAAAAAGACCTGAATGACGTCACAGCGCAAACCAATCTCAAAAATCCCAGCTAAAAGATATGAAATCCTAGCTGTTATACTTTCTGTTAGAAATAAGCTGAATGTTCGACAAATTTTTTATAATTGCTGTCCAGAGGTCTGTCCAGGCCAAATTTACTACCGTTTAGCGGTACCTTCACAAATTCAACTTTAGGAATACTTTTTCTTAAAATTTAATTTTTGTTTCCCGCAAGAAACGATAAAACCATATTTTTACCATATTTTTGTGTTGATTTTTTAATAAAATTTTTAATTTTCACAAATTATGTCTAAATTTTTACAAAATAGGTACCTCTCAGAAAAACCTAGACAGTCCCATGCAGTCGTCCCGCAGTGGACTAATAGTAAAGACACAGTTCGCAGCAGAAAAGCGAAGTCAAGCATCACTGGTTGCAGTCAGTAAGCCGGTGGGTGACCACTTTGATTAGCCAGCGTAGGGTCCGAAAGTGCACGGTATTGGTCCTCATTAAACTGTTCTACCGTAAAGTGCTTGACTTCTCGTGTAGGTCGTCGAACTACCAAAGCAGCGAAGCCATCCTCTCTGCAGAGGATCAAAATTGTGATGACATGTCTTCGAATCATCCATATGTTTTCCAGATCGCCGCCAATAGCCCATTGCGCAACTCTAGTGCGACGACAATAAAGTACGCACTTACCTATCTTATAATAGCTGTCAAATTTTACACTGTTAACAAATTATTTCGGTTTAAAAACATAGTACCCGTGCATTTTCTTGGTATTCCTAATAAAACTACATTTTAAAGTTACAAAAATATCTCAATAATAGTCGTCATTATTTCATTATTGGCTTCGAATTTTAGTTTTTAATTAATTGTAAATAAAAGAAAGCCTATAAGGACACTTTGATAGTTACATATCGTTCGATAACAAAAGTTTATTAATTGGAATTCCTGATTTTAAAATATATTTTCGCATATATAACTAAAAAACTTTTTAAACATGATCACTAGGAAGCAAAAACCTTAAATGCTTTTTAAAAGAGGGAAAAAAAAATTAGACATAGAAATATTACAATTGCTCAATAATATTTAAAATTAAGGGGTTATAGTTATAAAAAATATATTTAGAATAATGACATTAAAAAATAGATTATGAAAGTGGTCGAATTTTTAGACACTAATAATTTTACTTTTGAAGTTATGGATTTTATTTTCTTTGACATTGTACATTTTTCTTCTTTTCTGTATACACGAGACTGTATGGATTTCCCTATCGAAATTCAAAATAAGTTTTTGAACGACTGAATAAACCTAATGCTTTTTTGTGCACAGGAGGATTAATTCTTCTAGTACATTAACTCATTTAATGTCACATTTTCATTTTCTTTGGGAAATTACGTATTCTCATTTTGTATTTTACAATAATTCCTGCTGGTCGCTATCAGGCAAGCTGACTACGACTGTTAAATTTTTGCTATCAGATGAGAAGAAAATCACCCCAAAACAAAAAATTATTAAGGAAACCAATAAATACATTGTTATCAATTTCAAAAAAGGATGTTAATTACTTGCTAAGTATTTTATTTTTAAAGCGAAAAGTTGACGCTGAGCAGCCACTGACTAAAATCGAAAGTTGTAGCAGCACGAGACGACTTTTTTCAAAGGAGTGACGCAGTCCTTCTACTTACTTTTTAGCCTTAAGGTGTTTCAAAGTTTTGGAACGCAGATTTATTGAAATTACATACATTTGCTGACTTGCGTGCTCAATATAGGCTTATAAGTCATTGTCAAGTAGAAAATACAGATAGAACAATTCAGAGAAAGACATCACAAAGAATACATCCAGGGGTACGGCGGGATTCGAACCCGCTACCTCCACGCTTAACAGAGCGTTTGGACCGACGATACCGCTCGGCCAGGGAGGCCCCTTGGAACGCAGCGTATGCTAATCGCTTGTAAGTGCTGATGCCACGGATCTGAGTCTTTGGGTCCGTCCTCCGTATCTCGGGGAATACTGTCTTTTGGGAAAAGAAAAACTCTTTGAAGCGGAAAGAAGGGGATAGCATAGCGGGTTAGAATCCCGCAGTAATCCTGGATGTACCTTTATGCTGGTCTCCCCTAATTTTAACTATCTGTTCTTCAATTTGACCATGACTACCTGTTCTTTGAATTTCTTGCATTGGTGTGTGAATAAAGATATTTATTCATACCTGTTTTTTTCTGTGTCAGAACTTGGGACTTCAACTTCTCGGTAAAAAAAAAATATTTTTTCTCTATCGCTCTACTTACTGACCAACGAGCATCTTACGAATGGGGAGCTCCATGACCAAGGCGTGTTTTCTTTTTGTCAAGCGACATGGAGGTAGCGGGTTCGATACTCCCTCATAACCCTCCATATAAAATTAATTCTCTCTTTCTTTATTTCTTTCTGTAATGTATTCTATATGTTTGTTAAAAGCTTTTTGAGTTCCGAACTCTGCAGATTTATTTATAAGTAAGAATAAAGTACGAGTGCAAAACAAAAAATAAATACACTTCAGACATTTTATTTTTACTTTTTTTCCCCGTAAGAATCTGTGCTAACTGTTTAATTATCTAATTAGAAACAAATTGTGTAAATGTGCTTGATTGAAGAGCTCTTCGAACTATTCTATAATATAATACGTTTGTTTGTTCCTTTCTTCGCCACTGAAAAACACATATGAATCAAATCTCGCTGGTGCTATATTAGTCGTGAAAGAATATTAGATTCATTTGACTGAGAGAACATGTCTGAGACTAATACGAAACAATATAAACGCGTGTCTGAGTTTTATGACGAAAAGACATTATTTATCACTGGAGCCGCTGGATTTCTTGGATCGGTAATTATCGTTATTTTTATTACTTTTTATGAATATAATGAATTTTTTGTAAAATGTTTTCATTGATATTTTTTCACTGTTAGCGCTCATACAATTACAGCTATTTTTTATTAGTTACATTATCCTGTTTATTAAAACATAATTTTTTTATAAAAAAAATATATGTTTATTAACATATACTTAAGTGTTGTTTGTTTTATCTTTCCTTTTCAAACATCATACTTCACACGGAAGTATTAAACATATTTTTCATGCATTTAAACCAATTTAGTGTTCCCTTAATTCTTGCTTTGTTATTAGTTTTTCCAGTGGTTATTAGAGATCATTTTTGAAAGAAAAATTTTACTTATATTTTAAGTCTGCACAGTTTCATAAATTTTCATATAACACACTTTTTGCGATTGTATTAATCGAAATTTCTTTTTAATTAATGCTTCATTTAAATTATCTATTTAATTTAAAAAATATATATATTTAGTTTTGAACATTCAATTAAATATATTTTTAAAAAAAGATTTTTTTTATATCATACATTTTTAAACATTTCAGATTTTGATTTCATCTTTTATTTCCTTTATCAGTTATTTTACTAGTAACTGAAGAACCTTTCTCACATGTTGTAAACGAAATCAGATACAACTGGAAAGCATGCCTAACGACCAACACAATAAAAGCTATAATTCCATCATTATTACTATTACTGCATTATGAGGGAAGTAAAGTAATATCGAATATCAGGTTATGGTTGCAGTTATCAATGCTAGGAGATTTTTCAATTATGAAAAAAAAAAATTGCTATGAGTTTCAGCAACTCTATACTGAATTTACAAATGAAATCTTTTAAAAACCAATCTTCACTATCACTCGAAAAATAGAAAATGTATTGAATAAGTATTGACTAAAATATTGTATCCAGTAATGAATACAATATTGTATTTGATTTAGGTCATATTTTAAATGATTTCATTTTTAAGATTCTACGGATTTTTAAAATACATATGGGATGTTTCTTACATATGAACAGGCATGCCATAAGTATTTATTTCCAGATGTTTAGATACAATGGTAAGGAAAACTGATTGTGAGCAATGGATTGTATTTTTTGAAACATATTTCTGAAACAAATCAGTTTGCAGTTGTTCAGTCATAAATATATCGGAAAATTCTCGAACAGGAAACTATACCTATCAAGGGGCTGAACTAGATGATTATCAGATGATGAAATCGTGAATCATTAAAAAAAGGTGTGTACTACATCATTAACAAATTTTTACGACAGATAAGCAATATTTTCCTCTTCGAAAAGTTGTTTTTCAGACCCAGTAATTTTCCTACTAACAATTCAATCTTTTCAAAATTTTGGAGTCATTTTACTAAAGCTTTAAATGTTATTTGTAGGGAGAAAATTTTTTCCCAAGCCCAGTTTTACAAATTAAACACTTGCGAGTTTCTAAAAAAAACACATTTTTGAAGCGAACTTTAAAAAAAAATATTTTTCATGAGATTTATTCCCAAAACAGTCGATTTATCTTTCCCATCTGCAACATGCGATGCTTTTTTTTTACTACGTCAGTATTCAATAGTTTCTCGGTTTTGTTTCAAATGCAATAGCTTCACATTCTTCAGTTTCAAGCTTCTTACTTACAAATATATTGTATCAATTTTCTTTGTATTGTCAAAATCAAAATCATCGAACTTATTTTCACCCACCTGTGTTTGAATTCAGCCACCGATTTATTATACTTGCAGGTTCTGTTAGAAGTTCTTCTCAGATGTTTACCTGGAATTAAAAATATTTTTATTCTACTAAGATCAAAGAAAGGAGTACTTCCGAATGAAAGAAAGAAGCTTATATTCCAAAAAAGGGTAAAAATTTTTAGACTCGTTTTAGTTAGTAAACATATATCCTAAACAATATAAAATTATAGATTTGAGATTTTCCAAGTTTAAAATTTTGCTTTAAAAAGAAACTTTGTCTTAAGTATGCATAGTGGTCTCTCAAAATGTCTACATCGCAAGTTTATTTCTATTTGCCTAGTACTAAATTGATATTTTACTATATTTACTAGTAGTGCAAGATGAATAAAATGATAAATTTGCATTAGGTAGCTTCATTAAACTTTAATGTTCTCATTCATTCATATTTCAATCATAAAAACAAAGTAAAACATACCAACAGGGTCAGGGAAGCCATGGAGGTTAAGGTCGTACAATTTTGTGAACCGAAGTCATGATGGTAACAATGTAATTATAATTGTGCACAAACCGCCTTTATTTTACAGATGAGGTGCTACCCATTGATCTAAAGCTGCAAGAGCTTCAAACCGATTGAACCCTAATCTTACACAATGACAGCTCAATGTCTTAACCATTGAGTCATCGTGACATAAAAAACAAATAAAATGGCAAAAAAATATAAGATTTTTAAAAAAAAATTAATAATAATTTTATAAGAAGGCATGAAATTTTAAAAACTGTCAACATCGGCAAGGATTTAGATTAACATACTAGTGAGATATTGCATGGTTAATAGTATTTCCATTTCTGTATCTAATGCTCCACCAACTGATTTGTGTAAGTGATATAAACATACCATTATTAAAAATGATTTGAAATGAAATTCACGCAACCTAAACCCAGAGATGTCCCCTAATAATAATGAAATAAAACTAAAAAAAATTTAAAAATTTAAAATTACGTATTTCAAGTTGTCTAAGAAGGGAGAAATTAATTTTTGCCAGATTGAAAACTTAAAACGTGAACCCATCACTTCGTAATACACTTTCACCAAAATTCCTTTCGCGTACTGCACACTTTGAAATAGAGTTGAATGTCGATTACAGCTATCAATTGTCATTAAATACAGATAATGCAGAATTGCTTGTGATCAAGATTTCAAGTCATCAAAATTTATGATTACAAGCTGCTTATGATTACTTCTAATCAACATGAAATTATTACAGGTAATCATGGTTACACGTAATCATCTGTAAGTAAGCTTGAATGTAAGTGTTTGGGATAACAAGCAACCATACCCAAAACCATAAGATTACTAGTATTATGGTTGCCAGTAATCCTAATATACTGATTACAAACAATCGTATTACACGATAACTGCATTATGGCAGTTAATTTTAAGTGATCTTGATTGCATAGTAATCGGGATTGTAAGTAATTGATTACTTATCACAATGACTAAATCGTATACCTGAATAAATTTTATTGTGTGGTTTACTAAATGAAATCTTCATTCCCTGAATATGGAAGAAATGACATTGGTCCTCCAGGAAATGAATCTGAGACATTGCGGGGATTGCAAATCTCAAAGAAATCTTATTCTTCCACGACAATGCGAGGATTCACATAGCTTTAACAGCACATACGAAATTATTGGAGTTTGCTGTGATGTGATGTCGCAGGTAGGGCGCTGGGACCATGTCCAAGAGTTCGTGGGCTCTAACCCTGCCGGCCGAAGACGGTTGGTGACTGATTCACGTTAAAATTCTGTTGAGTTGCAAAGTCCTCCATATTCCCATAATAAATTATACCTCTGGGGGTACTGGATTGGAGATCGATCGTTCTCTGATTCAGGTCAAAATTACGATCTGTGAATGAGTGGATGGATGTATGAATGGGTCCGCCTTATAAATGGGTGTGACGTATGGTGTGGCAGAAGTCTAATTCTTGGCCATAGATGGCGCCACTGAAAAACAAGAATCGCACACTCTGCCTTTCACCAAGCAGCCAGGCTTACCAGTGTGGCAAGTGGCATTAGAACCAACTAACCAACCAGAAGTTCTATGAGCTCTGGATCACGAAGTTACGAAGAAAGATGGCAAAAAGTCATCGAATAGAATTAAAGATATTTGACAGATTAAAGTTCATTTTTATAGTAAAAAAAATTAGCTTTATTTGACACTAAAAAACCGAAATCACTTTCTTGACATCGTAATTTTTTATTTGAATTATAAAAGATTGTATTATTAGTATTGTTATCGATTCATGAACCACTTGGAAATGAATTAGTTTTTATACTGATAATTTCACTGTCTGAACCAAGTAAAAAATCATTTCTCATTTGAAACTCTAAGCAGTTTTATTACCATCGATACCGAATGTAATATTTTTACATGTATTTTATAGGTATTCTGCAAACTTCTAGAAGAAAATCCGAATGCTCCAGAAAAAGTGATTGTTGTTGAAGGTGATATCAGTGAACCTAATCTTGGAATGAGTGACGAAGATTTCATTAAAGTAACCAATGAAGCAACTATTATTTTCCATGTAGCAGCAACGATCAGTTTCATAAAACCTTTAAGGTAAAACAAAAAGTGGAAGAGTATTCTTTTTTTCTTCTATTTCATATAATCTTTAAGCTTCAAATAACTCTGACTAATGGACTATTTTACTGGTCTGCTGATTATCTAGAAACTGGAAGTGAATTCGTAAATTCAATTGAATAATAATTCAATTGAATAATTGTAAAAGAGATTTCATAATTAACTACACGTATTAAAATCATCGGGGGGGGGGGAGGTAAAAATGAAATGATCTTAGTGCAAATATTTTTTTTTTATCCTTTTTTGGGTAAGTAACAGCTTGTATTGTTTACATAGTTTATACTACGCCTTTTTTTGTGGATAAATTTGAGTAAGTTTAGGATGTTAATATATTTCGTATAATTTTTTTTAATGTGAAACATGTAGATTTAATTTGCATGCTACATTCAAATGAAGAGCAGTCTGTTTTTTTTCCTTCAGAAAATTCACTAGTCTTACTTCAAAGCAAAGTTTCTCATGTTCATTGAAGAAAATTTGTTTTTCTAGATGAACTAAAATGGGAGAAACACACTTTTTGAGAATTTTTTTCCTTGGCATTCTTTACTACGATATTCTTGAATTTGATACTTACTATTTAGATCAAAATATGGAGCTATTCTAAACCACGAATGACAAAAAAGTATTAATTTAAGTACTAAAATTTTTTAAAGAAAGCAGATATTGTTTCCTTAAGTTAAGCAATGGGGGAAATACTTTTTCAAGCATTCTTAATTTTACTCTTTTATGACATCATTGTAACGTTATTCACCTTAGAAGTTTCATTGCTGAAGAAATAAGAGAATTTTTCTTTTTAGCATCTAGGAAAGAGTGATTGTTCCGCAAAATTGTAGTAAAATTCTATATTGGTTGGTTTATCTTAATTAAATGTGAAACACTTTTACAGGTACATTGCAGTGCATAATTGTGTTGGCGTGAAAAATGTGATTGAATTAGGGCGAAAAATGAAAAACTTAGAGGTATGAAATAAAACTACAAAAAAAAACTTATTTAAAAGATTTGGTCGATATATAAATTATATCTTAACATATATTTCAGGCATTAGTATATACTTCAACTGCCTATTCAAATTCAAATCGCTCTCTAATCGAAGAAATAATTTATCGTCTGCCTTGGAATGGAGAAAGATTCTTAAAAGCATTAGAGTAAGTAATTTTTCTTCTTCTGAAAGATAAACTAAGTGTTTGTAGTTTTTCAGGTCATCCAGTCATAAATGTTGGTGTGCATTTACCTTTCCTATTAGAAACTGCATTCTCACTTCTTACATTTCTCGAATTAAAACGTTTAAAAACTGTATTTTATAATCAGAATTTCAGCGACTCGTTTATAACGTGTGTTAGAAGATAAAATTTAAATATTCTTCACATAACAATACTTTTAAAATGGTTTTCTATAGAAGCTAAAATATGGGGTAACTGAATATTGCGTTATGAGTTTGTACCTGATACACATTTCTGAAATTTTTCACGTAGAAGTTTGCTTTTTCTTCGTGCAAAGAAACCAAAGGCTGAACTAAATCAGTTAACTTAATTGTGTATCAGGTTATTCAAATTTCCCAAAATGGATTATCACAAAAGTAATGCTGCTTTCATGGGGTATAATAAACCTTATGTAAAAGTGTATACTACACCTAGTAAATAATTTTGTCTTGTCAAGACTTATGAAATGAGAAGTACGAATTTTTAAAATATGATTATATCTCAATTATTTTTAGTTATTCCAAACATTTGATTTTCGTTCGCAAAGAAAGATGAATAAAAGATAAAGGATCAATATTTAATATTCAATCAATGATTTAAAAATGTTGACAATTTGCTTGAAAATTTGACATTAACACTAGATTGCCTAAGGAAGTCACTTTGACAGCTTTTAATTTCAATTAGAAAAACAATGATGAATACAACGACACAATTTCTTAGAATTTTGTGACTTTTTGAACAACATATAATTTTTTTTATTGTTAATATTTACTAATAACTTGTTACAGAACTGTATATAATATAAAAAATTTTAAAAATTAATTTTAAACAAATTTATTGACGCATTCACAATCTAGTCATTTTGACTGCTTTTTGGCAATATAGGTATATACTAATTTTCCGTCTTTCTAGTGTTAATAACTTTCTTTTAAAAAAGATATCCAATAATGAGTCATACTATTTTATACGTGAATTTTATATCTCATAATATCAGAACATTTTTATAGCTATGTATTGTAATTGTAAAATCTTAGAAGTGGCACTACAAGATTATTGCTCATGCACAATTCTCAGCTTTCAAATTAACTTTTAAAAAATATCTCAAGACGATTCAAAACCAACTTTCAGCCAACGATCTTAAATAGATGTATTCGTGGAGATTTATGATATGACGTAAATTTTCCTCCATTTTTTTTTCTTTTTCTTTTTCTAACCTGAGAGTGAGAGTAATATGATGAACAGTATCGGAGCGCCATTCAAGGGCTGCTAACAATGCTTACTAAATAACTCGTCCATAAAGAAAAGGAAGAAAATCCCAATTGTACAATAAAAACAATGTTCTTCACATCATAAAAATATTAATCAAGTGGAATATCTAGGTGTTTTCACGAATACTTTCGTAGTTGAGGCAACTGCAGTACATTTCTAAAATTTCACGCGATCTATTAAGTTTTTATACGATAACTAGAGCTCTTGCCGAAATATGAGTGATGTTCCGTTAAAGATTGCAGAAATGAGCTAGCCTGTATACAAACTGTTGCAATAGAGTTCAACTTTGAAAAAAAGACATTGCTGATTATTTATTTCCCAACCAATGAGTTATCCGGAAAATAATTTAAATAGAAAATAACAGAATACATAAAATTCGTAGTGGGGAACTTTAAACTCGAGATGACTATCACTGATCACACACATGCAGTGGAGTACGCAGAATTTTTTCAAGGGGAGTGTTCATGATTTTCTGAAACTACTAAAAGAAATTCGAGTATGTAATAAAGCACTATTATTTGCCTAATTTAGGCAGCTAGATAATTTGACTTTTTATTTAGTCAACATTGTTTAGTTAAATTTTGATTTTTTAAGTTTAAGAGCATAATGTAATATCTTCTCGCATGTAATATCTTCTGAAAAAAGTCCAATGTCATATGGGTGGGAAGTAACACTTTGAGGGCCACTTTCTCATTCATCAGATTTTGATGTGCTAGAAACGTTTTCTTCAACGGAAGTGTCACATTTCTGTTCAACAGAAAAACTTACATTGGTACTAGATGCTGTCACCTCACTAATTTCAGGTCGTGATTTTTTCTCAAAATAATTATAAATTGTTAAATTCTTGCGTTTTGATATCCTAAAGATCCAAGAACAGCAAATATATATATTAGCACAGAAATATATGCCATACTACGATCTTAAAGTTTCGAGCTGGAATGAATAACTTCAACGAGCTCAGTATCTCCAATAGTATTGTTACTGATTTCTTCACTAGTCGAAATAACGACGAGGACGGGTTCGGCGATTGAATGAACTTCTTGTTAAGACAAAACAAATCAGATTTAGCAACGAGCTCCGAAAGACAAACGGCAGAGATAACTCTTAGTCTGACTAACTAACTCCACTGTTCTCCGTTCCCTCTTTTATATAAATTTTCACCGCAACTCCAAAATTCTCGAATTGTCTCAAACACGACAGAGCGTGTAGGATTCCAGAATCATCGCGTAAAGAACTCGCGAATGAAAGCCAGTCTCGAAAACTATCGCGACTGGCAGGACAGAAAGAAACCAGTCCGTAACAGTATCACGTGAATTTGGTTTCAAAAGTACAACCCTATTATAGTAAATGTTTTTCCAGTGTTCTGAGAAATACCGTGAGAGAAAAAAGTAGGCATAAGGCAAATAAAAATATATAGTCTTAAAAAATAATAGCCCGCATAATTTCTACTAAAATTTTCATTTTTACCATTTTGTCTGAGCTCAAGGGGGGAGTTTAAACCCCTCCCTTGCGTACGCCACTGCACACATGACCAGCAACTATAACCAGCGGCAGTAGATCGTTTCTTAACAAGATGGCGTGCTAAAGTAGAGCTAAGTCTCTTCTCATGAGTTAGAGTGTTAATTAGCGTAAAGTTAAATACAACGCCGTATCGCGTATCGAATTTATTAAAATATAATTACAGTACACTCTCGATTATTCGTGTGCGGATTATCCGGTTTGCGGATTAACCGTGCTCATTCCGGAGTCACACAAAAAATATAAAGAGAAACATTTTCAAGATTAAAAAAATTTGATTCATGAAGTTATAACACTACCAAATTTTTGGAAGCAATATTCGTTATTGGATTGCAGTATATGAAATATCAGCAACATGGTCAAAGGTAAAATCGTCTACGTTATCACGATCTTGGAGAAAGATCATACCGCTTGATGAACAATCCTCTTCAGATGTTCAAGAAAAATATGATAACAGTATTCTCGAACGAGCAAAAGAAATCGAAGGTTTCGAAATTCTTGATGAATAAAATTTAGAAGATTGGTTTCAAAATGATGCATGTGAGCCTGGCTTCCATTATTTGACTGATGAAGACATCGTTATGTTGTTAAATCAAATAGTGATGATTGTAACTGATGCAGAAGATGTAGTAAATGAATGAAATACAATTTCTCATTCTGTGAAAGCTTTATTAGATTATATGGGAGGATTTGATTACGGTGACATTACTGCGGTTCGTAAAATATGTGTATCGATATATGGCGAAGACGCATTACACATTTTTTAAAAAGGAAAATTCCTAGTTTGATGTTATGCATGCAAATGTCAGTAATTTTTATATTTTTTGTACTGATATCTAATTTTTCTTTAACAAAAGGAGTTGTCGGATTATCCGTGTCTTTCGATTGTGCGTGCGACCTGTCCCGGTGATTAACCCGGATAATCGGGAGTGCACTGTATTTCTCTTTTACGTCTTTTACTTAACTTTGATTTATTATTTGTATATGCATTTTATTGTAACCGTGATAGATTCTTTTGCGTACCTGGCAACTTTGATACATAATTAGTTTGTGTTCTACATGGCGCCGTGAATGTCTTTGTGTTAAGTAAGAAATATATACTGAAAGAATTGAAATCTTTGTAAAAGAATATAGAATGTGTCACTTAGGAGAATTGATACTTAACGGGTTGGACTTACTTGAAATAGAATGGTAGGAACAGTTGATAGCGTAAGCAAAATGCCCCGTTTCAACAACCAATCAGGATCGAGATACCCACAATATGTCACTTTTATAACCATCGTTGAACAGCCAACCCAATTTTGAGTTTGCGACTATCAATGTTCAACTCAGTAGCATTGTAATTTTGAACCCAACCCAGAAGATAAGGGAACTCCTGAATAATTATTGGGAGAAATTTGCCTTCGAGGTTCTTTTTGACGGAAATAGTCAACACTTGCGCTACATTAAGAAGAAAACCACGAGGACCTCCCATGGTTAGCCTGACGGCAAGTTGACTCTTAACTAAAGATCCGTCTACCATTGAGGATATTTTAGATCACTATATTACTATTTCTAGGATAGCTTGTGATCAAATCTATAAAGACACCATAAAATATTTATTTGCAGCCGTCAATCCCTACAAACATTGCTCAGCCTGTCGAAATAAAAAATTAAAATTTGATTCACGATATGATGGAATGTTATTTACTTTTATGCTTAACGATAAGTTAAAACAAATGTATATTACAGACCTTATTATTCACTAAAGATTCTAAAACTGTTTTTCTATTTTTAGGTCCGATTTGAATAATGAATTTGAAAAATTAGCTGCCGATTGCAAACCGAAATGGCCAAACAGTTATACTTTCAGTAAATGTTTGTCTGAAAATATCATAGCAGATATGGCGTCGGATCTACCTGTGATAATTATTCGTCCATCAGTAATAGCAACTATTTGGAAAAGTCCTTTACAAGTAAGCATAACTATAAAGAGAAAGATTGTTATTCGGCCGTATTCTTCGTTGGATCATCTCCGAATTATTTTGTAGTTATAGACAACAAGCGTGCCTTTCAAACTGCACGATTCACTTCATGAAGGTTTACAATTTTCATCTTAATGAGTTGAAACTCGTTCAAACAAAGCTCCAAATTTTTGCAATACAATCCAGATAAAACTTTCGCAATTTTTTTCTAATTTTTCGATGCAAACAAATTATGGTTATAAGTAGGATGTGTTTTAGTAGTTTACGACGGTATTTAAAACTATGTTTATAATACAACTACACTCTATAACAAAAAAATCGAAGCACCAAGAAGGAGTTGTCCGATTGAAACGAAAATTGGTGGATAGGAAGACAATGTACAGAATAGTAAATGATTAAAATTTCGGAACAATTGAATAATTTATTGCAGAGTTACAGTAACAAGTTCAATAAGGTGTTGACCCGCCTCTAACCTGGATACAAGCTGCCACACGGCGTGGCATAGACCGATAAAGCTCCCGGATGGTCTCTTGCGGTATTTCCTGCCAAATTCGATCCAATTGTCGAACGAGGTCATCAACATTCCGTGCCAGATGCAATCGCCTTTCCAACATGTCATCCCAGACATGCTCGATGGGAGAGAGATCTGGTGATCTGGCAGGCCAAGGAAGAGTTTGACAAGCTTGCAGACAGTTCATAGCAGCACGTGCCGTATGTGGTCTGGCATTGTCCTGCTGAAAAACCAGCCCAGGGGGGGCTGCAAAAGAAACGGTAGCAAAACAGGTCTTAGGATGTCGTCGACGAACCGCTGTGCAGTAAGTGTACCTCTAATGACGACCAAAGGGGTCCGGCTGTCAAAGGAAATGGCACCCAGACCATAATGCCTTGTTGACGGCCGGTGTGGCATGCAATAGTGAAGACAGGATCCTCCTTCTGCCCTGTGCGTCTCCAAACACGTCTTCGATGATCGTCAGGACACAGTTGGAAGCGGAATTCGTCGCTAAAGACTATACATCCCCAGTCGGCATCATTCCAGCCTGATCGAGCGTCGATTTTTTTGTTATAGTGTATTTAGTCATTTGCAATTGATTGTTTTGTTCTAATCAAAGAAAGGTACGTATTACACGTCTATTGTTGGTCGTTTAGTAGGAAGCATGAATTGCTATATATAGGTTGGTAATCCAACCATAATAGACTAATATTTTGTAATTTTTTCAGATCGTATAGTAAAATGTTGATTTACCTGATTTGGTAAAAACCTGTCACGAATAATTTAATATAAAATTAGATAATGATTTAGTTTTCTTAATTGTTAACCAGGAATCTTTAATCTTGGTTCGTTTCGCCCACCGACATCTGCAATTGCCACTCAGTCATTTTTGTTTTTTGTCAATAAACAGTTTACTTAAAATTAAAAAATTTTCACTTTAAAAAATCCCACACTATTTTTTGCATTAATTTAGATTACGTTTTGCAAATTTAGTCCTGATTCTATTGGGTTAAAATTGTCACCTCATCACTTTTTTTGGGTTGTCAGAGAGCTACGTAACCCAGGACTTTAAGCAGAGCAAATTCATCTTCAAACTTGTCCTTCAAATTAATAATTAATGAAATAAAGTAATTTTTGAGGAAATGTATTAGAGACCCTAAAATATTTGCAGAATTTTAGCAGTTTTTTTTTCTTTTAATTTTTATTTATTCATTTTGCTGTTCAGAAAACTGTATAAGCTCTCCTAGCATAAGAACAATATTCCACTCCAAGTAACATAGGAACAATGCCCAATTTTTCCCTAAGCAGCAAACATGTATGCTGTTGGAACCCAAGATTTTGGTACCCAAGATTGATTTAGTTGAAGAAGCACAGTAATAGTACTGTGCTTCCTCCAACTATATCCCCCAATTTGACCTTAAACCTACATCATTTGCTGTAACCTGTGTTTATTTCTGATCTTTATTTTATGTTAACGAATCACGCTCATAATTTTAAACTTTTTCGAACTTTTATTAAGGACACATTGCATTAGCATTCAAATAACTATGATTATTTTTATATTCAATGTTAACATATAAGCGTAACGTCTATTTCTAATGTACACTATGGAAAAAATTAAGTTGTAGATAAACACGCAAAATGCATCATAATAGCTACATTGTAAAATTTTAATTAATCATTTAAGTTGCCCATTGATAGCGCCTTATAAAATTTTTACTGTTTAGTAATTGTAAAACTGTTAATAGGTTATCGGAAACATCATTTAAATAAATTCCACACAAAATGTGGTTTAATAAGGTAATATCAAAGGATTATTTTACAATAGTCATCGCATTTAGCTTGATTTCTTCTATTCGGAATAATGGCTCTGGAGTATATCGGATGCCCTTTATTTTGGCAATAATTTCAGTTCAGCTTTTCTGAAATCCCTTTTCTGGTTACTGTGATATACTTTGCGGGTTTTGCTTTCAATGATGTCGCCTTCGGGTTACTAAAACTTTTGTTTACATTTATGTGATTGGTTCTTGGCTTATTTACATATGTATTCGTTTATTTGCAAATCTCCAAAAATTAGAGAGCAGCGATGGCACAGGGGATAAAGCGTTCGCCTCCCAATGAGGCGAACCAGATTCGATTCTCGGTCGATCGATACGAATGCCGCTTCTGGCTTGCATCGACCACAGTGCTGACGTAAAATATCCTCAGTGGTAGATTGATCATGGGTTAGTCCCCTTGCCGACAGGCTAACCGTGAAGGCTCTCGTGGTCTTCCTCTCCATGTAACGCAAATGAGGGTTAGTTCCATCAAAAGGTCCCCCACGAAGGCAAATTTCTCCCATTGCTAGACCCAGGAGCTCCCTTGTGTTATGGGTTGGGTTCAAAATTGCAAGGCTACGTAGTTGAACATTAGTAGTCGTAAGTCCAAAAATTAGGTCTTCTGTTCAATGACGGTTATAAAATAAAAGTTAGTGGCGGGCCCCGATTGTAAACTATTACAGTGTAATAATCACAAACGTAATAATAAGAAAAAAAAAGAGAATAGTGCGTGGAGTCTCTCCGCGAGGAAGAAGTTAAACTTCGCAACCTGCGACGTTAATTATATAAGAATCAGCAGTCTTAAGGCCTGGTTTCTTAGGACAGGACGCCGTCAGCTGGAAATCAGCGCTAACCTCTGATTGGTCCATTTGTGAGTTCGATAGTATACGTCATCGAACGCTCATCTTGAACTACAATTACCGTCCAACTCAACTGCAGTTGGATTACAGCGTGACGTTAACCACAGAAGCAATGGCGGACAACATCCTGTTGCACATTGAAATCAGACAAGATTTTGATTTTGACATTAAACATAGCTTCCTCATTAAACATAGCACTCTTCATTTAGCTCAGCTATAATGTGTTTTTTCTTGGACAAAGTCATTATTTGTTCTCTAA